CTAGGAGTGATGGAACCGAACCACGGAGCAACTCCCGAGCATAAAGCCCAAGGAGCGAGGAACAAGAGCCCTGTAGTGCATGTGATCATGGGATGAGATTTGGATATACTGTCACCGCGGATCCTTGGAACCTTGAGGGATAAATGGGGATAAAATAGCCACTAAGGGCTCTCTCATCAAGCAATTGCCCCTTTTCCAGTTGGCTTAAGGGGAGAGAGATAAGGTGCGCTACAGTTGGTATCAGAGCAAATGGCACGGGTTCGATTCCCATTGATTAGTGGCTACTTAAAAGTATAATATACCCTTGAGCAAGGTATATTCCTACCCCTAAATTTGAAATCGTACGTATTGGGCATCCATGCGTATGTCCTTCCTCTTGTGTGGAGTATCCACGGACGAAGGTATCCACTGTGGGACTGCGGTACGGGTGGATGACTAGTTGCCTCACATGGAATAGCTGATCTACACAATTGAAGGATTGATAGATTGAGTGCAGAAATGGAGGTGCTGGTTCCCCTTGGCAATAATAGTCAATGAGGACATTGACATCTCTGAAGGGTGATCGCATGTGATCATGGGATGAGATTTGGATATACTGTCACCGTGGATCCTTGGAACCTTGAGGGATAAATGGGGATAAAATAGCCACTAAGGGCTCTCTCATCAAGCAATTGCCCTTTTTCCAGTTGGCTTAAGGGGAGAGAGATAAGGTGCGCTACAAGCCCGGAGCGACTTGGAACAGTCCTAGAGTAACTAGCATCCCATTGCCAGGACCAGCACGCAAAATGGAGCCAAACGGAGTCTGGCGCTATTTCAGCATACCGGTGGCCTAATGCGAGGATATGGGTACCCCACCAACTAGCATGGTATGGAACTTGGGCTTAGACCCAAGCCAGACACAAAACAAGGATAGGCATGCAAGTGGGAGCTAGACTATGCCTCAGGTTGGTCGGCCATGCTCGACCTACTCACTATCCTTACTATATATTTGGAACCCCCCATAACCCCCCCCCCCCCCCCCCCCTTGAGGAACACACGCTTTGGGCTTTCACCCCAAGCCTCCCTTAGTATCAGGAGTTAGTCTCTGGGACAAGCTTAAAATTTACTAAATATAGAATGTCCCTAGATTGTGAATTTGGACACGGGACGAACACCACCGATCTCTACATTCTGTAGATATGCCAAATGAGCGAATCTAAACACTTTCCATAAATAGCATTTGGGACCAAAATGAGACTAACACAAAGGGCATGATAGCGAGGGTGTTTGGCAGACACGGTAAGCTATCATCTAGCGATATTGAGGGACCAATCTCAATACGCGAGGGTTCTTGTCACTAGCCTGTGCAAGACATAACGAGGCGGGAACTCCTTACCGGGCTAAGTATGCTTAGCTAATAACACGTAGGAATTCCGTCCTTATGCTCGTCCGGTCTAAGTACATTCGAAATGCCCAATTAACTCCACTAGTACAAAAAGGATTAATAAAGGGTCTAGCAATACCGACCTCCTGCCATTGTGGCAGTAAGGTAAGAGTGTCCGTAAGGACTAGTTGACAGGTAACTTTCGATACCCGAAGTCACATTTGCGACACTTCTACAACAACATTTTCTTCGAGCTACCACCTCTTGTCAACAGCATAGATTCCAAATGGAAGGGGATGGAAACCAAGCAGTATATCCACAATTGGTGCAATATCAAGATCACACACTTTCAACATTTTGAAGGTACAATGTTTACTTTCCAAATAGAAGGAATCTTTGCATAGGATAAATAAACCTCCTTAAATGGAATGATCTAAAAAGTAGCAATTGAATTAAGCCATAAAATCTCAAATTCACAAATACTAGAACTAACAACATATACTTGATTAAGATGTACACTATCTATAAGTATATATATTTCCTAGATCACCCTTCAATAAGACAATGTATTTAACAATTTTGCATGCCAAGAAATTGAGTAAATTTTGTTTAATTGGTAAGCTTGCCTACACCAGTACCCATTGTGGAGTCACCAATGCAAAATTCTATGAGGCTAAAGGTGTTGGTTCTATTCGCATTGAGCTTAACAAATGGCACTATACGCATGTCTCAGAAATGCAAGAAAATTTGTTATCTATGAAAAGCCTTACTGATACTAGTCTTCAATTTTCTGGAGATCAACACAGTATTACTTTTTATTTTGATGTGGTCAAGGTGATGCACAGTACCTATTTACAAAGTTAATGCTATTTTAGTGCCTCTCCTTGTCAAAATCTAAGATGCACTGATTCTAGCATAAAAAGTATGGAAATAGAAATGTCGCATACACTTTGGGATTGCTTGCTGATCCTCTCTCCCACCTCTTATTGGTTATGGACAAGATCAGGCTTTTTTCACATTAAAGCCTTCCTTTCTTAATAATGTTATGAAAGATCAGTAGTCCAGTGGTGCCTTGGTTCGAGCTATATAAAAGAATATTTGTGATAGTTACTCATTTTATGCCCTAGATAGCACTTGAAAGTTTGTGGCATGGTGCGGTGACAACTGGGACGCTTCCAGATAGAACAGAAAGTGGTAGTTCTGCACCATCAAGCTCCTGCTGCTCTCACTAGCAATAATCAAGAGGCACGAGAGATTTAGTTCTCCTGTGGCAGATCAATGCGGGGGTGATCCTAGGGAACTGTAATCACCCCTTTGGCGCTTGTCAAAAGCCTCGACCACGCTCTTGCTGAGAAAGTGTTAAAGCTGACAGTGAGGGTGGCGTCCTCCTTCGCATAAACCTTTCATGTAGACACCATGGAAGTCTGGCTAGTAAATATCCTTGATGCGTCTCAAGAATCGGGGTGATTTTTGGGTGCTAAAATCGGGAGGAGTATCAAGCTCGGGCAGGACGGCAGTCTCTCCGAGAAAAAGCGGGCTTGTTTGATTCCCCCAAACCCACCAGGCACATGGAGAACTTCGTCCACTTGAGCTGCCTGAGGATGGAATTGCCTGTTCGTGACAGGAATGGATGGTGAATGTGTGGCGTCGATGCTCCAAGCACAGCCCTGAACTTGGAAAGATCACACCGAAAGCTTACAAAGTCTACTTCTCTGGAAGTTCATACCTCTCAACCTTGGTCCCTGAAAACGTATCCCGCCACCAGGGCGCCAAACACAAGGTCAGCGTCGAGAAAGCTAGACTGCGAGGAGGAGGAGGAGGAGCGACAGGAGGAGCGCCTGCGATCGATCATGTCTTGTCAATGGAATCAGACGAGACAAGAGAGGCTGGAGCCGCCGCTGCGCCGATAGGCCAGGAAATGGACTATCACAGCTGCCGCAGTCTCCAGCTTGCCCACGTCAATCTGCGCAAGGCTGAGGTGCTCCAGCGTCGCAATGCCAGAGCATCCGCATTGATGATCGACGATGATTCAGTGTTTGGCTTGCAAGTATTTACAAATATCGGGAAGAGAATCGAACCTGAAACGTTTGTTTTGGGAGACCGATGTCCTAAATGACTGGTCTAAGCTGTTTTTGTGAGCTGGCGAACCAGAATAATGGCTCCTTATTTAGCAAAATTTTTGCATAAAAGTCCTTGTTGAGTGGACCCTTCGGCATCGAACCCGGGTCTTCTACAACGGTTTACCTCTACACTTACCTGATAGCCATCATCTCAGCAACCGGGTTCCCGTAATAAAAAAATCATACCATGTACTTGAACCATATGACAGGGGTCTTTGCGAAATCCATGGCGTTTTTGTTAGATCGCCCACCAGACGAGATTATCCCCCGCATTCGTGCTGCTCGGCGTTTCGTCCTTGGCAAAGCCCCTCTTGGGTTGTGAATCGATCATCGTGGTAATGGATCGTCAAGAGTTATGGCCTGGGTTGCAATAGAAACTCGCAGAGCAATCTCCACAGCCGCAGGAGCTTTGCGATCTTCTGCTGGTGTGAATCTCATCAGCCCCAAAACTCCACGTTTCAGCAATCCGACGAAACCTGTAGCGTGTGGCCATACAAACGAACATACCTCGGTATCATCCTCGGCTGCCTCGATGCCTGGAGAGTAACAGTCCCGGGAAGAACCATCATTTGCCCGAAACGAAATGACGATGGATCCCCTTGCATTCCCGCTGCCAGCCAAGGACCAGCTTGTGTAGAACTGAGCCCGAGCCGGAGACCAATCCACCGGGGCTGTCCAAGTGATGCCGAGATCAAGCTCGCTGTGTGTGCCAGAAAAAGAGAGCCTGAAGAGGACGCGAGCACCCGACTTGGAGCAGGGCTGAGACTGAAAACACGACTGTCCGCGAAGTTGATGCCTGTTTCTTCGCTGAGATCTCCAGCCAAGTGCTTCGCCAAGCTCTTCTCCAGCTCCAGATAGACACTACTTGTAGTTGCAAGCGGGCACTTGCCTACCAGCTTTGAGCCAAACATGCTAGAGAGTGTCCAGTCTTGCAGCTTTCGGAAAACAACCTGCTCCAATGTCGTGCCTTCTTCGTCCCGATCGAAGTCACCGGAAGTGATAAGCAGCCTCTGGGAATGGTACATACCACTGTAAATCGTCTGCCTGTCCAAGAGCGTCGTGAGCCCAGCCTTGTCTCTACATGGGAGAAGCGTGAGCCATGGCGTGAGCCGTGGCGTTCTACAGAGTGCTTCTCTTGGGAGTGCTCCATACCTCGTCATCGAGCTCTTGCTCCATTTCTTTCCTTTCACCACCCTCTTCATGCCAGGAGCGTCGAAAGCTCCTCCTCCTCCTGTCCGGTTTGCCTCGGGCCTCGACGAGAACCACGGCCCCAAGAACGTAGTTGGCAATTCGAGGAAGTTGATCGATGCGCAAAAGAGGACCGAGAGAGCGTGCGTGAGGTTTCCCCACGTCGAATCCACCTCTGCCTCTGGAAATGCCGTGAGCTCCACTCCCACTGGCTTGGCGGCGAGCTGCGCGATCGGATCGCCCACGCCCCAGCGCTCGTTGTTCCATCGCCCTTGCCATTTCTTTGATTCGAAACTTCCAGACCTGTTCCAAGCGATTCTTTCATCATCGTTTCGGGATTTGAGGACTTACGAGCTGGAAGATCGACAAAAGAAAGGGCAAAAGGAGGATAGGGTTCGATTTTACCTCTCCACTGAGAAACGTACTTGGAGTAAGAGTTCGCACCTTTGGAAGCACTCTTCTGAAGGCCATGGGTATTTGCACTGTGCTGGGAGATTCTCTCCAAGGGCAAGTAAATCTGTGCTTGAATTCTTTCTAGTAGTTATGGCACTAGCATTTTACTGAGTTTATATGTATGGAAAGTGTGGGCTCATTGAGATGCATTTGATTGAGCGGGATGAAACACGACGATCACTGTCTACGTGTCGCATGAGTGTGGTAAGCAAGCAATCCACCTCTATGCATACTTATGTCTAGAAGGGACAAAATGAGTTGATGTTTTGCCAATGCTTGCTCAATGTTGCATGACCATTTGTTTGGTTGCAATTTTGTCTCTACCCAGATTGTTCTTATTAGTTGAGCAATAGTCTTGAAGTGCAATTATGTTTTAGTGGAGTTTTGAGCCTTGGACGATTGTCATTTAGCACATATACTTGGCATGGAAAGTTGCAATATACATTTCTGATAGAGCAAAATGCAGGCCTAAGATAAAAAAAAGATCACCTTCTCATGGCTTTAGATGCTTGTTTTTCTCTTGAAGTTCTTTGAACTGATAATCACATTTATAAGTTGTAGTTGGTTATGGGTTGGATTTTTCTCTTTAAGTGGAAAATTTATGGAAAATGCAGGGATGCATACAATGTGTTTGACAGCATGTGCTATAAAATAAACGTGATCATTTGAATTGCCATGGTTACTGGACATGCTCAATGTGAACATTATTTACAGCAAGGTGAAGGAAAAAAAAGGAATGAATTGCATAGTCTATGCAAAATTTTCATAATGAATTGATTCAAGTCTTTTAACCACAAAAGAGATCAGGAATGCCCTTAGTGAAGTTGGGAATTTTGCTTACCATTCTCATATATTTAAAACCAAAGAGCCCATTAGCAAGTAAGTCTTGAATTTTCTCACAATGCCCTAACATTGAATGCAATGTGATTTTAGCCCTCTTAACACACATATTTTTTCTGTTTTTGCAAAGTGGTTCTATTTCTTTTTCTATATGGGGTAATTTATCTTTTAACTATTGGGCAGGAATATTGCACACTATTGTGGCTTTGACATTTTAATATGTTAGGATGTATTATAAAAATTTATTAAATTTAGCATTAAATAGAACAAATAACAATTCTTATTGTACCACCCTCTAGAGACTAGGTAGTTGTAAGTAATCAAAGATAACAGAATTACACTATATATTGAGAATTACATGATAGAGAATTACACTATATGTTGAGAATTACATGATAGAGAATTACATTACATGTTAAAATTGACATTTAGTAAATTTAATTTGCCTTTAATTAAGTTCAACATAAATGGTAGGGTGTCAAAAGAGCAAGGCTCTTGGGAAAGTTGTGGATTTTAACTTCCATTTACGAGCATGAACTTGTAAGAAAGTATAATAAATTATAAGTAACTAAAAAGAACGAATTGAGAGAAAATCTATAAAGGTCAAATATAGAGGGAAATAACAAAAGTACACCCTTTTTTTTGGGATACTTAGGGGGTTAAAACATCTTAGATTTGAGTATTGGGATATTTAAGGGTTAAATCTCCTTAGGTTTGAGTAATATTGGGCTAGGTGACCTCTAAAAAAATCTAAATTTAGGAATGGTATATTTCTCACTCATCTATATAGCATGATTTTAAATTTAGTTCTCTTAAATATATTGAGCATAACAATTTTAGATCTGATTCTCTAAATACATTAACCATGACACAATTGAGAAATGAGACTATGGTTATTTCCTCCTACTACATTAGCATAAAATTGTTTTTCTTTTTATAAAGCTTTATGATTTTTTTTCAATTTATCAATACTTTAGATTTTAGATGTGATTCTGAGGATAAGGAGAAAGCCATCCTTTGAGGGAGGACAAAAAGTTGGCAGGTCTTTATATTAAATATCTATAAATCCATTTAGTAAATTCTTATGAAATATGATTGTCTAACATCCTTTTTATTTATAATTTCTAATATATGAGAGACATTGTAATTTGAATTTCTATAATAAATCCACTAAAAACTATTAGTGAAATATAACTTTATATAAACTCCTGAGTTTGGAGTTTCTAAGAGATCACCCAACTCAATATTATTCAAACCCATAGATATTGTCGCGAATGTGACTTCAGGTATCGAAAGTTACCTGTCAGCCAATCCTTATGGACACTCTTTCCTTATTGCCATGACGGCAGGAGGTCGGTATTGTTGGACCCTTTATCAACCCCTCTTGTTCAAGTGTTAGTAAATTAGGCTTTGCATCTATATTTGGCCGGAAGAGCATAAGAACGAAATTCCTAAGTGTCTATTTAGCCAAACATACTTGGTCTGGCTTTTTAGTTCTCTTTTGCTTTTTCTTGCACTGGCTTGACAAGAACCCTCATGTATTGAGACTAGTCCTTCAATATCGTTACATGATAGCTTACTGTGTCTGCCAAACACCCTCGCTATCATGCCTTTTGTGTTAGTTTCAATTCGGTTCTAAATGCTATTTATGGAAAGTTGCTCATTTGGCATATCTACGGAATGTAGAGATTGGCTTGAACACAATGGTGTTCGTCCCGTATCCAAATTCGCATTCTAGCGCTATTTCATATTTAGTAAATTTCAAATTTGTCCCAGAGACTAACTCTTGATACTAAGGGAGGTTTGGGGTGAAAGCCCAAAGCGTGTGTTCCTCAAGGGGGGGGGCTGTGGGGGGTTCCAAATGTATAGTAAGGATAGTGGGTAGGTCGGGCATGGCTGACTAGCGTAAGGCATAGTTTAACTCCCGCTTGCGTGCCTGTTTTTGTTCTGCGTCCGGCTTGGGTCTAAGCCCAAGTTCCATTCCATGCTAGCTAGTGGAGTACCCATATCTTCACGTTAGGCCACCAGTATGCTGAAATAACACCAAACTCTGTTTGGCTCCGTTTTGTATGTAGGTCCTAACATTGGGATGTTAGTTGCTCTAAGACTATCTAAGTCACTCTATGCTCCTGTCCCTTCGCTCCTTGGGCTGTATGCTCAGGAGTTGCTTTGTGGTCCGGTTCCATCACTCCTTGGCTCCATGTTTGGGGGTTTGGCATCGTTCCTTTGTTTAGTGGCCCAAGACCCTAAAACTCGGGTTTCACACCACTGTCCTTTGGACACGTGGCATGTGACATATGGCATCTGTCACATGGCACAAAGAGGGTTTAGGTTCCGCTTCGTGGTGTTATCCTATGGTAAATCACCACAGGATAAAGGGTAAAAACCACATGCACTACATTTGGTATCAGAGGATGAGTCTCAACGAGTACTATCTAATGAGATTAGGCAACTAGTCTCATTGCATATGCAGAGATGAAAACGATGATTTGAGTGGGTACACGTTTTGGTGCGAAGGCTTCGCAAATGGTTCTTTGGGTATGGATTTGGTTACCTTTTTGAACTGCATTGTATGAGCTTGCTCTTGGGCTCATAAGATGGATTGAGACGTTCCATTTACACGAGTTTTCGCTTGGGCTCATGAGTGAGGCACATTAACAACTCAAAGTTACATTTTGAGTTGGCAGGATTAATGTTAGCTTATTGGTGGTTCCATGAGTTGTTCCATGTACCGTGGGTGAAAGTAAACCTTCCCTAGGTTTGCTATGAGTGGCAAATAGGCTAGTCCATAGTTGTTTAGCATGGCACTAGTGGATACTTAGGCATGATTATGAGTGGATCAATCAAGACTGTAGGGATTGGTTTATTGGTTCAAATAATCATTGCCATGCTCTCTTATAAATTTTTCTTGGATTGCACTGAAGGCAGTGCGAAAGCAAGTTTAAGGTTTAGTCAAAGATGAGACCGAAAAGAGAGTCGTCAGGGATGAGGGATCAAACACGTAAATCATTTTCTTTTCTTGGAGGGATGATTTGCAATTTAGTGTGACTCATTGCTTGTGTTCACAGTATGCAATCAAGAGTCCCTATCTTGATGTATGTTAGAAGTGATGGTCTTACAAGTGGTGAGTTATGGGATGGATAGTGGTGAAACGCTAAACCATTTTGTCTAGGCTTGCTATTGGAAGACTTGGGTTGCAATGCTCAATTCTTTTCTGGGGAACCTTGCTAATGCTCCTTGAGTAGCTTGGTATTAGATTAGTTTTGAGTTTGGTCAGAAAGAGAGTGACATGAGCTTGTCTGTGTTGTGAACAAAAGTTAGTGGTGTTGGGTATTGTAAATCTCTATTGGTGGAGTGTGACATTTATATTGCATCTTGTCGAATTGAGTTAACACTTGATACTCACATAAACCTTTGTCATAGTAACATGGGCATTGCTCATAGTGTTGCTTGATTAATGATTAAGACATTGTGATACTTATATCATATTCATGTGATAATGAGCAATGTGTTTACGAAATTGCTTGGTTAGACAATGATCAACCCCAAAGTGGTTGATGGTGAAGCTAGTCTACTTGCACGAAGTAGCGTTGTAGTAGCTTTGATTGGATTCTCAATGGTGGTCCATTATGCTAAACTTAAGTTGGTATGTTGTTTCCTTGAATGCTTTATTTCATTAAAGTGGAACTTATTCAGTAAAGTGGGACATTAATTAGCATGTGTCCACATGCCATTTCCTAGTACTTAATTAATATTTATTAATATTTCTATCAGTTTTTTAATTTATTTTTTATATTTCACAATATTATAACACAAAATCATATGAAAAGTTTTTAATTTATAAATTATAAAGCTAAAACTTCAATTTTTTATTGTTGTTATAAAAATGGCATGTGGCCACACACCATAAGTGGGATAATGAAAAGTTCCACTTTAACGAAATAAAGCATTTGAAAGGTTTGCCCATAAGGTGTTGGAAAAAAGGGTTGTAGCATTCATTTGTTATAGCTCATCAGTTGATCTGTTAGCACTTGGAGTAGATTGTTGGATGGAGAAGATGTGTAGTTGGGGCATTGATCATCACCAACACTTGTGTTAGTGGAAGTGGCATTGTTATTTCGAGTGATGAGGAATTTTCCTTGGACCTTGATTTTCCATGTCATTTTTCTTGTTAGTGTTTTAACTATACATTAAATCTTGAAAGTGATTGAAGAAAAGTGTTAGTGCAACGTGGATATCCTAAAATATGGTCTTCGTGATCAAGCCTTAGATGTTCACTTTGCACTTTGCGGATGTCGGTGTTAGATGTCGGAAGTATGGGCAAAAATGTTCGATGCTTTAGCATATTGTTGGGTCATGAGATTGGTGTTGAAGTGAACCTATATGAAGTGTAGGTAAGAGAAACTTGGTTGAGTCTTGAAAGTTTGTATTCCTAGAGTGAGAGTCATTCTTTCTTTAGTTTTCCACAAATTTTCTTAGACTTTTCCAATGGTTGATTTGTTGATCACTTTGCCTGAAAATCATTTTGTTTTTGTAAAGCTAGTGAAGGGGTTGGAGTTGACTTTGGTTGGCTTAAATCTTAGTAAATAACTTATATGATGCAACCCGAAAGGGATGCTGACCTTTGTGTAAGCTCCTGAGTTTGGACTTCCCGGGAGGTCACCTAGCCTAGTACTATTCAAACACAAGGATGCTTAACCCCAAGTATCCCAAAACCCTTAACCGATTGGAAAAGGGGGTGCACTCTTTCTTATTCATGGGCCCTTTCCTTCTATATTTAAACTCTATGGACCATCTTTCAAGTCGTTCTCTTTGGTTGCTTACAATCCACCACGCTTTTCTACAAGTTTATGCTCTCGTGAACGGAAGTTAAGAGCCGCAGCTCTCCTGAGAGCCCCGCTCTCTTGACACCCTACCCCTCGGGTCGAGCCCAGCAGGAGCAAACTGCCCTCGTGAATGGAAGCTGAGAGCCACAGCTCTCCCGAGAGCCCTACTCTCTTGACACTCTACCCCTCGGGTCGAGCCCAGCAGGAGCAAACTGGACCAGCCAGATGTCAATCAACATATGATGTGATTCCCCTAGCCAACCAACAAAGCTGGACTTGAGACCCCTCTGATACCAAATGTAAACTCCTGAGTTTGGACTTCCCGGGAAGTCACTTAGCCTAATACTATTCAAACCCAAAGACACTTAACCCCAAGTATCCCAAGACCCTTAACCGATTGGAAAAATGGGTGCACTCTCTTTTATTCATGGGCCCTTTCCCTCTATATTTAAACCCCATTGACCGTATTTCAAGTCGTTCTTTTTGGTTGCTTACACTTTGAAGTTAAGGCAATTGAGTTGGATAAAGTCTAGAGTTGGTGTGGAAAAGTGGTTGTTACACTTTTCTAAGAAAGTTGATCCTTATGCCTTTCTTCTGTAGTGTTATGCTCGATGGCAGGTTGCACCTTGCATTTTATTAAACTCTATGAGAGTAGTGAGCTCTCACTGATCTTGACTTAGTCTTGGTGGTCCTATGCCTTGGCTGAGGATAGTGATGTCCAACTTACTTATTTGAAGTTGAGATGTTGGTACCTATACTATAACTTTGTCTATGAGGAGGTTGTGTACCAATATGAGTCCATCTCATGGTCTACACTTTAGTTTTGACTAAGTGTTGATCATGCCTAGCTAGCCTCTTCAAGGCATGCTCAGGGCTGTTGGCTAAATACATTAGTGAGCTTATTGCGGTTGAGTTGGATTTGAATGGTCATTTAGTTTGTGCTTATCTATGAACTTTTATTTCGTATCTGGGGTATCATATTCATGTTAAGATAAGTATATAACTTGATGACAAAAGTTGGTGTTTGGGTTTTGTGAAAGCAAGTTGAGGAGTGATTGTTAGTTGCTTTGTGACTAATGATTACTTGTAAACTTTGTTAAGGACTATTGACACTTGCTTTGCTCAATGATGATTTAGCAGTGATGGGCTTGTTTTACCGGATGGTGTTGTGGAGGATTGTGTCATTAGACTTACATGGTTTGTTCCATGTTGGCATATCGATTCTACCTCTATCAATATCATTTTATTGCGTTTAGTTCGTAGTGTTAGATTTTATTGAGTCTTGGACGTGGTAAATCACTCCTTGATGATGTGTTATTTATAGTTGAGTATTGTTGAAAGAATTAGTCTCCGATACTAACTAAAATATCTTTGATTTTGGTTAGCTTGGTTGCTAAAGAGTTTTGAGTGGTGATTCACTCTTGCTTTCTTTTAGTTTGTTCTGCTGTTTAATAGCATTGAAGTGGTGCCTTGTCGTTAACATTATTAATGTTGAGATTTGAGTGAAATGAAATGTCTCTCATGAAACAGTACTAAGAAACCCTGTAGAAACTCCAGGCGGACGAAGATCTCTACATGAGGATGAAGTTCTTCATCAAAGACTTGTCAAGCTTCGAAAGTGACGAAGAAGCTCAGGAAAGGCTCGAGCACTCTGGCAAGTCACAGTATTTCTTCACGACGGCATGCGAGGAAGAAATCACGAGGATATACTGCGTCACGAGAATTATCCTAGGATAAATCTCGCAAAACCTGTGGATAATTCTCCGGACCCAGTATTACCTAGATAAAAAGAGAGAGCAGGATGACGAAAGTGTAACAAAGAAAAAAGGAACAAACGAAATTTTAAAGTACTGAAACTGACCTCCAATGCAGATAGTACCTAAGCTTTGGACAGCGATCCCGTCGTTTCAGCCGCTGTCGTGCTGCTGCTTTGATGAGTCCTTCGAAAATGTATGCCTTGTTCGTCGAGAAAGCTCAAGCTACAGAAGAAGAAAGAATGAAACGAACGAGTGTTAATGCAGCAAAAACAAAATATCGCTTTTGTCCTATCGCACACAAACCACTCACAATTGTTGCGATGGTTCGTCCTGTGAGAGATAGAGCACAGTGCGCAAGTTGAGGCGCTCTAGAAAAGGAAAATTGAGCTGATGAACAACACCTGATCCTGCGAGATCGTACTCCACCATGCCATAGTTGAGAGGAGCTCATGTCACTCACGGAGGAGACACTGGAGAGAGGCTTTCAGCACTCGAGAACACGGCTACGGATCATCGCCTGCAAATCTGAGCGGCAAGACGAACGAGAAATGAACAGGAGAAGATGAAGAGGGAAACAAATAAGAGAAAAGAAGTGAAGTAGTGGATATTCCAAGGATATGCGAAGATACGCTTAATCTCACGCCCTCATCGCGTGGCGATTCTGTTCGCCATCGCACATCTGGTCTGTTCAGTTCATCCATAGCTTGAGCACTCGATCCTTTCCCCGATGCGACTTTTTGGCCGTCAGGGCTCCAATCCACGGCAAAAACCTGCACAGGAATGTTTTGCTCGTAAGCATCCCTTGCGGCTTTGAAGAGGTACCTCGTCGGCATGACCCGGAAGATCCTCCAGAAGTTTATGGTTTCTCATGTTCCACACCTGTTTCCCAAATGGTGAGGATATGAGAGTGAAAAAAGAATGCCAACCTTCAACGTAGAATCCTTGCTTCCACTTAGTAAAGTCGGCTATCAGCTGACCAACTGATTCACCTCGTTCAAAACGAAACCACCACAGAAGAAGATCGACAAGGAAGACGAAAAACAAAGAGAGACCTTATCTGATAAACCGGACCAACATGTCTGCGGAACGTGGTGACGTACTCCATTCCAAAGCTTGACGGACTTATCAAAGGATGCACTGGCAATCCACCGGCCATCAGGCGAGAAGTAGACGTGATTGACAAGCTGAAAACATGGAGCAGCATTACAAGCAGGACGCCAATGATGAGAACGTTACCTGTTGATGGCCAGACATACGCGTCTTTGGATGCTTGCCAGTTGCAGGGTCCCATAGGTACATTGACGAGCCTTTCTTGGGAATCACCTTTGGCGGCTTTGTATCTTCTAAACGCGGCCTACGACACCACCGTGAGAAACAGATGGAAGAGAGTCACAGTAAGTGTTACCTCTTTGATCTCTTCGTCTGTTGCAAAAGTTCTTCCTGTGTGATCGAATGGTCCAGTCCTTAGAACATACTCCGTGCTTAATGCTAATGTGTTAACCCAGTGAGCATGACAGTGTCAATGTCACAGTAAGAGATCACAAGCAGGGCATCCCTCCAGCTTAAGCACCTCGCGCGGTGTGTACAAGGGCAGGGACGTAGTCAACGCGAGCTGATGACTCGCGCGTACTAGGAATTCCTCGTAGGCTGAATGACACAGACAAAATATGGCCTGATAGTTCAACTAAGTTTGATTCGAAAACGAAATAACACTTCGCACCTGAGATGGTCGCTGAGCAACGCGTAACCGGACGGATCCGGAAGATCGCTTGCGGGTGGTAAACTATCTGCAGATCCTTCTCCACAGATACTGAATCCCAAAAGAAAATGGAGCGTTGCTTCATGAAACTATTTCGATTCTAGATAGAGAGCACCTTTGTTTCGAAGTACGTGTTCTCCGAGCTGTCCAACGAGCTCGAGATCGTTAATATAAAAGGCGTATGGGAGCGGCTCTTCCCATACAAACGAAAAAGAATAAGAATTACACGAAGGAAGCGAAAGAAAGAAAGAATGCGTCGCTCACATTGTGAAGAACAGTGTTGATGAGCGTCTGGAGCTCCTTCTGCGTGAGATTCTGCGGCACATCCAAGCGCTCCAGCATTCACGAAGACGCAGATGATGTTATCCTCCATCGGAGAACCCTAAATCTCTACTAAAAATTTTAGCTTGTTGGAACGAGGAAGAAGACGATCGCAATGCGGCGCTCGGCGGAAGCGATCCTCCTTCTTGGAGGATCATCCATCGATTCTGTGGCAGCGCCGCTTCCATCAGATGGATTGATCGATCGGCGATTGCTTACTTATCAGGTAAAGAAATTCCAAAATCTCCTCGTTTTATTTTTCCCTTCCATCTTGGCTAAGGTGCGTGTGAGCGGCGATGGCGCTCTCTCTCCAATTCCCGGTCTCCACGCCCCGGCAAGCGTCGCTGGAGATTTCAAAGCTAACGCCCGGCTGCCTTGCGTCGTCCTTCTCCTTGCGATCTCCTTCCACTTCTTCGCTCCATTCTCTCGGCACAAGCAGCGGCATTGCCACGGCCGTGAAGAAGAGCTCGAGAAGATGGAGAGCGGCGAAGACGGTGGCGATGGCGGCAGCCGCTAACGAGGTGTCGAATCGCAAGGTACTGATTGTCAACACCAATTCCGGTGGACACGCCGTGATTGGCTTCTGGCTCGCCAAAGATCTCGTCGCTGCTGGCCACGAAGTTACTGTCATGACTGTCGGTGAGGAGAGCTCGGATAAGATGAAGAAGCCACCATTCTCGCGGTTCTCGGTATGTTCTTGACCATGTCTTCTGTATATTCGTGCTTCCTCTTCCGTTTATTCTTTGCAGGAACTGCGAGATCTTGGAGTATCAACCGTGTGGGGCGATCCGAAAGACGTTGGAGCAGCCGTGGGTGGCAAATCGTTCCATGCCGTTTTGGACAACAATGGAAAAGATTTGGATGCTGTGAAGTATGCGATCATCTTTCTCGTCTTAGAGGATGAAGTTGGCTGGTTTTTTTGCAGGCCTGTTGTGGACTGGGCGAAATCCCAAGGTGTGGAGCAATTCTTGTTCATCAGTAGCGCAGGAATCTACAAAACTAGTGACGAGCCTCCGCACGTCGAAGGGGTAAGCAACCTCCACTTTCTCTCTTTTCTTTCTCGCTTCTCAGCTCAAGCGAATTGCTGCAAACAGGATCCTGTGAAAGTGGACGCAGGCCACGTCGGTGTGGAGGACTACATTTCAAAGTCGGCTTTCAAGTTTTGGTCCTCGTTTAGACCCCAGTACATGACTGGCTCCGGGAACAACAAGGACTGCGAGGAATGGTTTTTCGACAGTAAGCTTTTCCTTCTTCTGTTCGTGTTTCAAGGGATCATGAAAACGTTTTGGACAGGAATTGTTAGAGACAAGCCCGTCCCGATACCTTCTCCGGGGATCCAAGTGACAAACATTGCTCATGTATCCGACTTATCGAGCATGATAACACTGGCGATTGGGAAACCGAGCGCGTCCAACGCTACCATCTTCAATGCTGTGAGCGACCACGCTGTTACTTTCGATGGTCTCGTCCGGTTGTGCGCCAGAGCTGCGGCGAAAGAAGCGAAGATCGTCCACTACGACGCCAAAGCTCTGGGAATCGATGCGAGGAAGGCATTTCCTTTCCGAAACATGGTATGCCCAACCTTTGATTATTTTGGTTTTCATATTTTCCTTTCGTTGTTTGCGCTGCTGTATAGCATTTCTACGCGGAACCAAGAGCAGCAAAGGAGAAGCTCGGGTGGACGAGCTCGACAAATCTCTCAGAAGCATTGAAGGAGAGGTACGAGGAGTACATCAAAATTGGGAGAGACAAGAAGGATATCAAGTTTGAGATCGATGATACCATTCTGAGCAAAGTCGGATAAACATTGCTTTGCCAAATGAGGTTCTTCCATACGACGTGGTCAGTAGTATCCCGTCTCAGAGAACCAGTAATGTCACTTTCAGATCGAAGGATGTTTGAGCTTCTCTGAGTTTTTTTTCCTGCTTGCTTCATCGCTTACTTAAAGGTCTAAACTACAAATGAAGAATGAGGTTAACATTGGCTATATAAATACGGGGACAATTAGGGCTCGTGAAGCTTGATGGATCTCGAGACCAGATGTAGGATTTTAGTACACGATCTTCTCAACTTCGAGAGCGAGGAGGCGCAGGCGAGGCTTTGTTTCGATCCAGCTGCGCGATTTTTCCTCTCTCGGGCTTATTTATCCCCAGAGGAGGTGGACAAACTCAGCAAGACGCAAACTAGCGAGGGCAAAACTTTGGGCGAGGCGCTGGAGGAGGTTTTGGAGCGGAAGAAGGGCAAGGGGGACTACCAGCTGTGCACGTCACACGACATCGCGCCCATCTTGCAACAGGCGCTCGGCATCCACAGGGATTTCCAAAAGAATCCAGCGTTTAAGAAGGCCTTGAAGGCATTCAACAAGGAATGGAAGAAGAGAAAACCTTTGTAAGAACTCCTTTGTAAAAATTACAAGTAATCGACCAGAATCGAACCCGAAACGTATGCTTTGCGAAACCGATGTCCTAACTGGCTGGTCAAAGTTGTTTTAGTGAGCTAGCGAACCAGAACAAGGGCTACTTAAAGAGCATGATTTTGCATAAAAGTCCTTGTTGATTGGACCCTTCGGCATCGAACCCGGGTCTTCTACACCGGTTTACCTCTACACTTACCTGATAGCCATCATCTCAGCAACCGGGTTCCAGTATTAAAAAAATCATACCATGTACTTGAACCATATGACATGGGTCTTTGCGAAATCCATGGCGTTTTTGTTAGATCGCCCACCAGACGAGATTATCCCCCCGCATTCGTGCTGCTCGGCGTTTCGTCCTTGGCAAAGCCCCATCTTGGGTTGTGGAATTAGAAGGACTGGAAGAATCGATCATCGTGGTAATGGATAGTCAAGAGTTATGGCCTGGGTTGCAATAGAAACTCGCAGAGCAATCTCCACAGCCGCAGGAGCTTTGCGATCTTCTGCTGGTGTGAATCTCATCAGTCCCAAAACTCCACGTTTTGGCAATCCAACGAAACCTGTAGCGTGTGGCCATACAAACGAACATACCTCGGTGTGATCACTCACTCGAAAATCTCTGCTTTTACGAGTGGAGTGAATCATCTTCCGAGCGTGTGGTTCTCCATGGGATAAGGCTGCTACTTTCTGTTTTTTCAGTAAGTATTTTTCTGTTTGCTACTACTTGTTTGGTAATTTGGTTTGCAAGCTTAAGCTCTTGAAACTGATGAAATCTGGCACCAGGGGTGCTTGCCCTGAAAAGAGTCTTTCTTCTGAAAGGGTAGGCTGAGATGAGACCCTCACGACCTGATCAGGATAATTCCTGCGAAGGGAGTGTGCCGACGCTGTATTTTATTTTTCTGTGCAGGTTTTATGACGATCGCACAGAATCAAGCTTGTGCACTGTATCTCAGATATCCAACTTGAAGTGACTCTATCGAGGATGATAATGGGAAAACTGAGCGCGTCCAACTTCAATGGTGTGAGCGACCACCCAAAGCAGGCATTTCCTTCCCGAATTTAAATTGAATTATTCTGTGTTTTGACTTTTAGAGCAAAGAATATTGTTTCCTTTATTCTATTTTAAGTTAGTATTGGCAAGAATCGAACCGGAAACGTATGCTTTGAGAAACCGAGGTCCTAACTGACTGGTCTAAGTTGTTTTAGTGAGCTAGCGAACCAGAATAATGGCTCCTTATTTAGCAAAATTTTTGCATAAAAGTCCTTGTTGAGTGGACCCTTCGGCATCGAACCCGGGTCTTGTACAACGGTTTACCTTTACACTTACCTGATAGCCATCATCTCAGCAACCGGGTTCCAATAAAGAAATATCATACCATGTAGTTAAACAAGTACTGGACGAGATTGGGATCTAGATGGATCGATCACGCTCGATCGCCTCGCCTCTTCTGCTTGCACCGGGAACAAGATCCACCGCGTAGCGAGCAGCCTCAACCGATCCATCGCGATTCAAGATGGAGAAACCTCAAGGCGGTCTAAATGCTTGGCCCCTCTCGGCAGACCCACAAATTTTCATCCAGCGACAGAAATAAGGGCCACAACATTTTCTAACCCCCAGCTCCATTTGCTTGAGAAATCGTCGCCTCTTCTTGAGTTTGCTCGCACATTTTTTTGGAATTGAGAACGAGGAGAAGAAACAATCCTCAATGCTTGAGATATATTTTTCTTCTCTGGGTTGTGGTGTTTGATGCGTGCTTATGCCACTGATTTAAGCTTGGATTTTCCAAAGTGCGCCGCTCTCTTGCGCCAGTGCACCGGACTAGCCAGCCTCCGCGAGCTCCACCACAAGATCGCTGCTGCCAATTTGGATGCGCACACGTTTCTGGGCAACCATCTCGTCCAGATGTACGGCAAGTGCGGGAATACGGCGGAGGCGCTTCTCGCTTTCGAGCGCATACGGAACAAGAATCGCTTCTCGTGGAACATCGTTCTCACGGCATATGCCCAAAACGGGCATATTCTGGAGTCGAAATTTCTCTTTGAAAAGATGCCGCAGAGAGACCTTTACTCTTGGAACTCGATGATTGCGGCGCTAGCACAAAACGGATGTTTGGAAGACGCGTTTGCGCTGGCCGAGAAGATGCCCGAGAAAGATACTGTTTCTTGGAACACGATACTTGCGGCATATGCCGATTCAGGAAGCTTGCCTATGCTAAAGACGATGTTTGATCGAATGGAGAAGCGCAATGCCGTCTCCTGGAATGCAATTATCTCTGGATATGGCCAAAACAACAGTGTGGAACTCGCAGGAAAATGTTTAGCAAAAATGCCGCAGAGAAATCTCTTGTCTTGGAATGCCATGCTTGCGGCATATGCCCAAAACGGGTATTTTGCTATGACAGTAAAGCTCTTTGCGGAGTTGTGCGCCGAGGGATTTGAACCCGACGCGTTTACCTGCGTGAGCGTACTGGACGCCTGCGATCGTTCCTTGGGCGAGGAGATCCACGACGAGGCGCGATTCAATGGCTGGGATTCCAGCGTCTTCGTTGGCACGGCGCTCGTGGCCATGTACGGGAGGTGCCAAAGTGTGGACCGTGCAAAGGAGGTTTTTGGTTTGATGCCCGAGCGCAACATTGTGTCATGGAACGCGATGCTTACCGCATATGCCGAGAATGGGCATCTGGAAGATACCATGGCCGCGTATAAGCATATGCCAGCTAGAGATCTTGCATCTGGAAATGGCCTTGTGTCTGGCTACGCGCGATTAGGGCAGTGGGAGAGCGCCCGTGCAGCATTTTGGGCTCTCCCCGAGCGAGATGTGGTTTCTTGGAACACGATGATCGCGGCGTGTGTCGAGAGGGATCGTCCGCAAGAATCGCTCGCGCTCTTCCGGGAGATGGATCTCGATGGCGTCGCGCCAAACCGGATCACGCTTGCGAGCATCTTGAGCGCCTGCGATGGAAGCCAGGAAAATATCGCGCATGCGCTCATCGCCGGGCTGCGGGATCTCGAGCCGGACGCGATGATCGGCACTGCGCTGGTGATCCTGTATGGCCGGTGCGGCAGCTGCGAGAAATCCTTGGAAATCTTCCACCAGATGGAGGAGCCGCGCGATCCAGGCGCTTGGAATTCGATCATCGCGGCGCTGGCACGCAATGGCCACACCGATGCGGCGATCGCGATGCTGCGGCGGCTGGAATGCGAGGGGATCGAGCCGGATTTCGCCGTTTTCAACAGCATTCTCTTTGCATGCAGCCATGGCGGATCTCTCCGCGAGGGCTACGCACATTTCTTGATCATGGGTGGGGATTACGGCATCGCGGCCAGCGCCAGCCATTTCATGTGCCTGATCGATCTGCTGGGCCGCGCCGGGAAGCTGGAAGCCGCGGAGGAGCTGATCGATTCGATGCCATTCGAGGCGGATGGCCTGGCCTGGACGATTCTCCTCAGCTCTTGCAAGAGCCACAACGATGTGGAGAGAGGGGCCATGGCGGCGATGAGAGTGGCCGAGTTCGAATCCTGGCAAAGCTCCACTTATGTGATGCTCAGTAGCATCATGAGGAATTAGCTAGGGTTCTTGGATTGGCCCTAGGCCACAGTGAATGGCGGACTGGGGAGACGACAACGTCCAAGAAGGGGAGGAAGAGGATGGATCGGAGGATTTCGAGCTCCCGGAGGAGGAAGAAGGCGCTGGATCGCAGCAGAATCACGGCAGTGACGAGGAGAGGAGCAGCAGCAGTGGCAACGAGGAAGGGAGCAGCAGCGGTGAGGAGAATCAAGGCGATGGCGATGATCCGGTGGAGATTCAGGATGATCTTTTCGGCCCCGATAACGAAGATTATATGCGCACTACTCCGCAGAGCCAGCTTCCCATACCAAGTAAGAGCGATTGTTCTTCTTCTCCCTTTTTATTTTTGTTGGTCACACACATTTTTTGTGTAGTCCTTCCCGAGCCCCGGAATGACCAAAGGAATGATCACGAGTACCGGCGAGGAAATCCTCGTGGAGAAAGAAATTCATCCTTCTACTCTGGCGGTTTCAAGTCGAAGGATCTCGTTGCTGACCTGAAGCTTGGCCCTCCTGGCCACTTGGACGAGACCTTGCGCATTGCATGCCCCCCTTTTCAAGAGGTAATCGTCAGGTTTGTGGTTCATTTTTTCTCCACTTACGTAGGCCTTGATTAACAGTGGAGAAATTTGGCTTGCATGGTGGTTCTTTGGAGCAGCCAAATCAGATTTGCTGTTACAGTCGAACACCGGATGGAACCGTTTACTATGACGAAAGGTGTCTGGTGAGTGCGGTGCTTTTGCGAGTGGTTCTCTAAATAATTGAGTTTTCTTTCCTTTTTTATTCCCCTTGTCGACAGAGAAAATTCAGGAGGAGAGTTCTCTCAAGTTTTGAGGCCGACTTAAACGAGGGGTTTGACTCTTTTGTTCAGAAGAATGATGGTTGGTGATCTGTGATTTTGCGTGGTTGAGTTTCTTTCTGATTCGCGAGCATTGCAGATTCGGAATCCAGTGCTTTCGGCGACTTGCTGGCGTGTGTGCGAACAAAATTGACTTCTTTCAAAGACATTCATTTTGTAGTAAGTTTTCACAAATCTTTACAAATTACCATCACCCATCGTTTTGTTGGCGCAGACATTTCGGAACAACTTAAATAAGATACTGGGGACGACCTATAGTAGACGCGACGCCTGGGAGATGGGCGTGCACAAACGTTCTGGAACAGTGTATTTGGATTGTCGTAAAACTCCTGATCCTCCCCAGACTGAGCTTCAACAACGACAGTAATCACAGCGCTTCTTCCTCCACTTTTTACTTACGAAAAACTGGTTGTTGCAGATGTTATTGGGGCTACAAGTATGAGGAGGTTGCGACTGAAAATCCTCAACGAGATCTCTACGAGATGTCGGGCGACGCAGGGCCGCCTGTCGCTGTGGATGCGAACGTTGAGTTTTGCACAGTCGTTAGAACCAAACTTGGTCCCCATCGGATCATTATGGGTGCAGAGATCGACTGCTATGACGTCGGCTCCGACGGTACGAAGCGTTACACTGAGTTAAAGACCAGTCGCGAGGTGAGTGCTTGTTTTTATGTTCTCTTCGACGTTTAGGTGTTATGCTCGCTTGCAGTTGGACAAGAGAAGTTTTGAAAGATTCGAGAAAGAGAAGCTTTTGAAATTTTGGGTGAGAGTCACTTTCTTGGATATAATTTTCTCTGCCTAACTTGCTTACCATCGCAGATACAATCGTTTTTGGTTGGAGTTCCACGAATTGTATGCGGCTTCAGGTAATGTTGTTTCTTCCCCTCTTCGGGCAGAGAAATGAATATCTTGATCTGGTCATGAAAAACAGGGACGACAATGGTAGGCTTTTGCGCTCTGACATGATGCTCACTCAAGAAATTGCACGTAAGATGAAACAAAAGCATTACTGGGAGGTAAGGCATCTACGTTTTCAGCGATTCAAGTCAGCAATGGTTGTGACAGGGAGGTGTGTGCCTGGCATTTGCGGATAGAGTCCTCTGCTGGCTCTATGGCAGCGTAAACGATGGTAACGACAGAGATCTCTTTCTCTCATTTTGGATTTCACTGAGCTCCAAAACTTGGTGCAGGAGGAGATTATACTCTTCGTTACATTCCCAATAGCAACAGGATTGAGCTAGTGAACTGTGATTCCTGTCCAAGAGTTATCAGCGAGCACATTGAGCTCCTGGAATCCTCGAGCTAGAAAGCTGCTCGAGAAACCATTTCTAGCAACACAGCTACTTCATGGAAAAGTATTTCCAAGCACATAGTTTAGTTTTAAACACTGCGAGTGTATGGACGACAGAGCCACGACAAACGGATCCAAATAAGAAAACTTTAACACGTCGTTTTTCGCGGGCTAAAGTTTGAAAGATTCCCAGCGAATCAAATTCAAATACTTTCACTTTACACTGGTTTGGCTGTGTTTAATCAGCGCGGCTCAGCTCCAGCCATTAGGGCTAAGATAAGCGATCCAAATTCCAACCCATCCAGCGCTGTCCAGCCCACCTTGACATGACATCTCTCTTACGCCATAGCCGGCGGATAGCACTTCCATTCTCTCTGATCAATGAGTTGGGCGGATGGAGATCCATTTGAATCGTCCATCCTTTGAAGCTCTTCCTCGTTGGCGCTGCTGTTGGAGTGTCGGATCGAAAGGAATTTGGTACCGGACTGATCAGAAAAAGCAGCTCCCTTCTCTCTCTCTCTCTCTCTCTCTCTCTCTCTCTCTCTCTCTCTCTCTCCTTTGTCTCTTTGATCTTTCGTTTTCTTTGGTCCGTGAAGAAATGACAGTACGTGCGACAGTCGCCCCCACTAAAACGCACTAAAGAAGAAGGGGAAGGGAAAAAGGGAGCGAATTCTTTTTCCCTCTATCTATCTAGCGTTTTCGGTGTCTTCCCAATCGAGAATCTCTGGGAAACAAGCAAGAAGCGATCGATCAGGCGGCTGCCCACATTCCAAAGCGATCCTGGAAATGATGGGCTTGCGCTGAAATTGCGCAATTTCGTCGCGCCGATTGCGATTCGACGCAGCGAAAACAGAGGATCCGTCTTCCTCTCTTTTATCTTTGGGGAGAGATGGGCAGAGCGCTGCTGTTCTTGAGCTGCTGGATCTTTCTCCTGGGCTGGGTTCACAAGTGTGGCAGCGCAGCAGCAGCGGCAGTCCCGGGCAGATCCAAGTTTCTGGCGGAGAAGATCGTGGCGAGGGCGGCGGTGGTGGAGATCAACACGAGCAACACAATCTGGCGGGTGTCAGAGGGATTTCTGTGCGCCACGCTCGATTGGTGGCCAGCGGAGAAATGCGATTATGGGACTTGCAGCTGGAAGGACGCCTCGCTCCTCACCATGGCAAGTTTGCTCGCCAAATCCCTCCTTTTATCTCGATTTCTTCCTTGCTCATCAGATTTCTCCATGTTTGGTAGGATCTCAAGCACCCACTGCTGGAAAATGCCATCAAAGGTGAGTGAAGAGTACAGGGAATTCCAGCTCTCAGCCACCAAAGTTTTGGTTTTTTCTCGCAGCTCTCTATCCACTCACATTGCGCCTGGGCGGATCGCTCCAGGACCGAATGTTCTACAAAGTCGGGAGGAGCGCGCAGCGGCCATGCTCCAACTTCGTCAAGCAGCAAAATTCCATCTTTGGATTCTCCGAGGGCTGCCTCAACATGTCGCGCTGGCTGGAGCTCAACTCACTGTTCCAAAGGACAGGGTATAGTTAGTAAGCAAAACTTTCCCTTCATCTCCTCCCTTAAATTCGCGTCTTGTTCGTGCCAGAGCTTCTGTGGCATTTGGATTGAATGCTCTCAATGGCCGCCAGCGCGTTTCCAAAGGGGTTTACTCAGGATCCTGGGATTCGACCAATGCCGAAGATTTCATCAAGTTCACCCACGACAGTAAAATCGCCATCGCGGCTTGGGAGCTTGGTAAGATCTTCACAACGTTTGCATTTACAGCAAATGCCCGGTCAAGGCAACCTTTTGACGTTTCGGATTTCCAGGCAACGAACTTAGTGCCAATGGAGTTGGCACGACGATCAACTCTCGTCAGTACGCCACCGACGTGAAATCTCTTCGCGAGATCATCGACGGGATATATGGCGACCAGATCGACAGGCCGATGGTGGTTGCTCCCGATGGATTCTTCGTGGCGGCGTGGTATCAGCAGCTCTTGCAGTCGACAGGGCCGCGAGTGCTGGACGCAGTGACGAGGCACATTTACAACCTTGGAGCTGGCGTGGATCGCCATCTCATCCAGAAGATTCTAAGCCCGACTTATCTCAGCCAGGAGGCCGGAGCTTTCAAGCAAATGCGTGACACCGTCTCGAGATATGGTCCCTGGGCTCAAGCCTGGATTGGAGAGGCCGGAGGAGCTTACAACAGCGGCCAGCACCTTGTCAACGATGCGTTCGTGTCTAGCTTTTGGTATGTAAAATTCCTCTCTTTAGCGTTTCTTCTTTCGGTCTTTTCCTTTCTTTCCGATTGAGTGAAGATAGTTCTATTGTTGTGAGTTTGGATGGCTAAAGGTCTGGTTCCTGGTTTTGGAAGCTAGAATATTGGTCTTTCTGCTTGTGCTTTTTTGGTAGATTAAGAATCAAGATGGTGTTTTTTTGTTTTTTTTTTTCTTTTTTTTTTTTGTCTCAGTGGTTCAATGTGTGATTTTTTGGAATCAGGTATTTGGACCAGCTTGGCATGGCTGCATCGCACAGCACCGCTGTCTACTGTCGTCAAAGTCTCGTAGGCGGAAACTACGCACTGCTTCGGACAAATAGTTACAATCCCAATCCGGACTACTACAGGTGTGTCTTGTGTTCTCATGCGTTAAGTTCTTTCTTCACTGTTTTTTTCTCTTTGTTGCATTCGTCAACCGGGCTGCTAAGAGTCTCCCTTTTGTCTATGGTTTCTTGGCAGCGCTCTTTTGTGGAAACAAGTAATGGGCAATGACGTCTTGCCTGCGACAGTGGTCAGCGAGACTTATCTTCGCGCGTATGCACACTGTGCAAAATCAAACTCGGTAAAGAGATTCTGAAAAGCTCCCTTGGATCCACCACTAAAGTTGTATTCGTTCTTTGTTTTCCATTCATCCCCAGGGTGGACTAGCCGTGCTTGTCATCAACATGAGCAACTCCACGGTCTACAGCGTGAGCCTCAAGCTGTCGGGCTTCGCAAAGAGCAGCAAAGGCTCTAGTCGAACGCCCCGGCTCGAATACCACTTGAGTGCTCCCCTGACGGATCTCCAGAGCCAGAGCATACACCTTAACGGCAAACTCCTCGACGTGACTCCAGATGGCAACATCCCCGTTCTGAAGCCAATCTCGGTGGATTCCAAGCAGCCCATCACGATTGCCCCGCTCAGTATTGCATTTGTTGTGCTGCCTGATGCTAAGCTCCAGGCATGCACCATAGTTGAGTGAAACTCTTTAGGAGGAAAAAATGTACAAATGGAGCAAGTTCCACTAAACGTATAAGTTGACAATCTACGCTATAATTTTAAATATTTGTATATTCGATTGAAGACTATTTGGGCCTCTAATATTCAAGCGCCTCTAAGTCCAAGTTCCAGCATTTTTTTTTCCTTTTCTAGCATTTTTAATACAATATATAAATCATTGATTTGTTTACACTTGTTCTTCTATTTTTCTTTAATTATTACTTTAATTTATATTATTCTTAATATTTTAAAATTAAAATTTTTTTAATCTTTAAAAGTGGTATATATGAACATGAAGCATGGGACCCAAACATCTCTGCCACCTGCTAAACTCAACGGAAATTACTCAACAAAAACTTCTTTTGATGATATGAAAATCTTAAATTTCAAATTAAAGTTAAAAAGTAAAAAATTAATTTAAATATATAAAGTTGACTAAAACTGAAAATGTATTTAAACTTAATTTTATGAGTTAATCTAACCAGTTTAATAAAAATAATTAGATCTCCAAGGCTATGTTTTAGGGTTTTCCGAGCGGTGGCGATGGCGACTGCGATAACGGGGACGACGATGGAATTGGCTGTGGGGGTGGCCCTGTGGAGCTCGCTCTTCACCGCAGTGCGCTTCATCCTCTTCCCAAGCAGATCTCACGATTTCTCCAACCGCATTGTCTCCCTCGTCCACGCCTTCGTCGCGCTTGCGCTGTGCACGCTCTCGCTCCACGACTGGCGGCACCCCTTCCAGCCCCTCGCCTCGCCCGCCTCCCCAGCGCAGGTGAGCGATTGAACTTTCTCCCTCCTGCAAGAAGAGATCGATCCATGAGATCTTCGTCCACAGGTCAGAGCAATCACCGTGAGCCTCGCCTACTTCATCTACGATTTCTTCTGCTGTCTCCTCGAGGTCCCTTTCGATGCCGCCACCGCTCTTCATCATCTGGTTAGCATCATGGGCCTGTGCTATGGATTTCTCTACAAAGTGGTGAGGAAGAGCAAACTCATTCGTTTTTAATTGGTTGATCTTAGTTTTTTCTTCTTTCATCCAGTCTGGAACTGAGCTTGTGGGCTGCCTGTGGCTCATGGAGATGTCCAATCCATGCATGCATGCACGGGAGATTCTCAAGGAGCTGGGCGTCAAAGATCGACCACTCAACTTGTGGAACGACGCAAGTTCTTGGCCCTGGATCTCTCCTCGCTTTATTTTTTAATCTCTCCTTCACTCTTTGCCACTGCATTGCAGCTCTCATTTGCGATCACTTTCACCATCGCTAGGATGGGATTCGGACCGTACCTCACTTTCATCACCTTGAGAGCCAACAATCCACTGACTGTCAAGGTGAGTTCTCACAAATAGCTCGAAAAATGAAAGAAATCACCTCGCAGTTGGGAGCTTCCGGGATTCAAATCGTAAGCGTCTTTTGGTTCTACAAGATCGCCAGGCTCGTCCGCTACAAGCTAAAGAAACAAGTCAAGTCCAGCTGATCGAAAACGCGGGTACCTTGTTTTGTTTTTACTTCCTCCATAACACGAGCGTCGCAACTTGGAGCTTGTTGGAGCGATCAAAGCTTTTTGTTGGCAATGAGAATTCCATCCATGTCCGAGTAGCACCACTCTCCTGGTAAGATCCTCACGCCACCAAAGACCACAGCCACGTCCTTCTCGCCCTGTCCTCGTTTGAAGCTCTTGAGTGGATGCGGAGCCAGCGCTCTCACTCCGACGTCCACCGCGTTGATCTCTTCCACGTCTCGGACGCATCCGTTCACTAGAATTCCTGCCCAGCCATTGGTCGAAGCCATCGCTGCCAGGTTTCCTCCCAGCAGCGCGCACCTTAGGCTGCCACCTCCGTCCACGACCAGCACCTTTCCATCACCCTGCTGCTCCAGAGCCGCACGAACCAGCGAGTTGTCCTCGAAAACCTTAAGAGTTGTCACCGGACCCGAGAAGGAACAACGCTTCCCGTACACTTGGAAAGCTGGCGCCAAGACGCGGACTGTACCACCGGTGATTATCTCCTCATAGTACTTGTCACAGAGGTCCGTCGTCGGCATGGTCATGAAGCCTTGCTGCATTGCGGAGAAAACCGTTTTGGACCTGCACAAATCAATAGAACACTTCTGAGAAATCAGAAAGATTAAAGAAACACGAGCAAGCTCAAAATTGAGTAGCAAGACATCTAGCCATACCCGGTGCGAAGATGAAAAAGCCCTCTAGAAACTAAAGCCCTTGCCATGGCTATAGTTCAGGGAAAGCGATTCGAACCCGCGAACTCGCGAGTCGTGACGAGAAAAAGTTTTCCATTACGTACGTTCTTGAGTGTCTGAATGCCTTCAGTGGAGCTGACGGTCTTCAATCAGTCAGTCACAGGTCTATAAAAGTAAATGTGAAATCGCTGCTGTCTGGTACAAGACGCCATAAAACCACAACACGTTAACAGAGTAACAACAATGGTGAGAGTATTTTTACCTTCGTTTCGTGTCATGCTCTCCTTTTCTATACCATAAAACTTTCTTACAGATGCAAGCGCGACCACCCATCACGTCCTGCTTCTTTACGGCTGCTTTTGCAATCACTCCATGCTGAAGCTTTGCAAAAGCTTGTGGAGCGAATTAGGAGCCTTGGCTGAGATTTTCCAAAAGCGCCGACTCGCGCCTTGAATGTGAAACGGGGAATCCAGATCGTGACCTCCACCACAGTTCCTGCATAGGCCTCACTGTGTCACACAGTCTTTCAAGGAAACTCTTGCTACCTTCGATATCTGTGCCGGCGTTGGAGGTGTTGGAGAAGCAGGAACCTCGTGTTCCTCTCTCTCTTGCGCAGGTAGCGATTTCTTTTCTTGCTTTCTGTCGAAGTCGTTTCTGTCTTAGGCTCCTGAAGCAATGGAGAATGAGCTGCTAGCAATCGTCTCCGTTTTGTTGCTGTTGTCAGCTGTTGTTGGTGCACAGCCAGGTATTGCTCTCCTGTTGGACTCAAAGTCCGACGAAGTTCAGAGTTGAAGAGAATCAAAGTGTTTTTCTTACCACTATACAGGGAAGTTCACGTTCTTGCAAGAGGCCTCTTCCTCGGCCTCGTCCAATGAGGAGTACGACTACATTGTCGTCGGCGGTGGCACTGCCGGTTGCCCCTTGGCTGCTACGCTGTCCGAAAAGTTCAAAGTCCTGCTACTGGAACGTGGTGGAGTGCCTTACGGCAATCCAGACATCGAGAGAATAGAGATGTTTGTCCACAATCTGGTCTGGACCAATGCAACTTCCCCGGCGCAAGCCTTCATCTCGGAGGATGGAGTCATCAACAGACGGCCCCGGGTTCTCGGTGGAGGGACCTGCTTAAATGCGGGGTTCTACACCCGTGCAAGCCAAGAATTTATCCAAAAGGCCGGATGGGACGAAAAACTTGTCGACGAATCTTACTCCTGGGTGGAAAACGTGGTCGCTTTTGCTCCGGAACTAAAGCAGTGGCAATCTGCGGTCAGAAGAGGTTTGTTAGAGGTTGGAATACTTCCAGACAATGGAGTCACGTACGATCACTTGATTGGTACCAAGACCGGAGGATCGATCTTCGATAGCAATGGACATCGCCATACGGCCGCAGATCTGCTCAAATACGCAAATCCGAGCAGCATCAAAGTAATGCTGCATGCAACAACAAACAAAATACTATTTACCGGTACGAAGTCTCATCTGTTTTTTTACCAGACAGTTCACTGACATTGAGACTTTCAGCTGATAGCGAACGTCCAAGAGCATACGGTGTCGTGTACACAGATACGTCTGGTATGGAGCACCGCGCAGTTCTCAATTCAAATCCACGCAGCGAGGTCATACTATCTGCCGGAGCACTGGGGAGTCCACAATTGCTGATGCTGAGTGGAATTGGTCCAGAGGAGCACCTAAAGGCGTTCAAAATACCAGTAGTCATGAACGCACCAAATGTTGGTCAGGGAATGGCAGACAATCCTATGAACGCAATCTTTGTACCTTCACCGAAACCGCTCGAGGTATCGCTGGTGGAAGTCGTTGGCATCACCAGCTTTGGCAGCTTCATCGAGTCTGCTTCGCCGGCTCTTGGTATCACGATGATCAGCAGCGTTCCTCCGCCACTGCGAACACCGAGTTTCATACAGGCTGTTCAGAATCAGCTACAAGAGATGTCTTCCTACCTCCCGCGTACTGGAGTTCTGATGGAGAAGGTAGATGGCCCAGTCTCCAGTGGTTATCTCAAGCTTCGCAACACCGACCCTCACGACAATCCCGCAGTACGGTTCAACTACTTCTCCGATCCCCAAGACTTAAACAAGTGTGTCCAAGGAATCCAGCTTATCGAAAGAGTCATTGGTTCGTCCTCAATGACATCTTTCACGTACGTGAACCCCGAGGAAATACCGGAACCGATGCTCAAGTTCGTGAGTCTGCTCGGAAACCTTTTGCCGCTGGATACGTCAAACAGGATCGCGATGGAAACTTTTTGCAGAGCAACTGTGACCACGATTTGGCATTACCACGGCGGCTGTCAAGTTGGACGAGTTGTAGACGACAGCCATCGGGTCATCGGTGTGAATAACCTCCGAGTCATAGATGGATCGACGTTTCTGTCATCTCCAGGAACCAACCCGCAAGCTACTGTCATGATGATGGGAAGGCAAGTAAGCTCCCTTTCCAGTTGCATCGGACTGAATCTCTAGTGACTCGTCTGCAGGTATATGGGTGTGAATATCCTCAAGGAACGTGGATCAAGCTACTGATAAGTATATAGGAAATTATTCCTGCGAAGCGGACGTAAGCAGCAGCTAGGAAAAAAAAAGAAATCGGTATAATTTGTACCTGAATTTAACAAATGTAATTCCCTGTCCAGAAGATTACTTTAAGTCCTTGGCAGCTGAGCAGCAGACTTGTTGTAAGAACTTGCGTTTTATGGCGTCAACCACAAGTTCCATTCTCATTCCTCTGCTTCCCTTCACGAGCACAACGTCACCGGGCGTGACCCTGGCAGTAAGTTCCTCGGCAAGAGCAGCGGAGTTTTCACATTTCACCACCTCGCACTTTTCCAGTTCTAGACCATTAAGCGCGTCAGAAAATGCAGGCCCTGCTGTACCAATAACATCCACATGGACCTCTTGACAGCACTTAATGGCCTTCATGTGAGCGCCCCTGGCGAAATCTCCCAATTCGAGCATATCACCCAGCGCCACAACTTTCCTGCCTTTGCATTCGACACTGGCCAGGATCTCCAAAGCGACTGTCATACTCATGGGATTCGCATTGTATGCGTCATTGATCAGCTGGATGTTGGAACTTATAGCTTCCAACCTCGACCTCATGCCAACCGGTGAAAACTTGGAAATCGATTCTGATGCTGCCTTCAGTGGAACCCCCAGACTGGTCGCAACACACGCTGCTGCGCAAGCATTTGAAGCCAGATGGATTCCCGGGCATGACAAAAACGTTGTCTCGAAACCTGGAACACCTTGTTGTTGCAAAGTAAATTTGACACCCTGACCACCACTGGTGACTTCTCCGTTTAGCAAACGCAAGTCACTTACTTCCGAGCGTCCAAAGAATCTCTAGAAAATGTTTTAACAGTTAAGAACACAAGCGGAGAAAAGAAAAGAAAAACTTACAATCATTGCATCTGGTGAGACAGGCATAGCCATCACTAAAGGATCATCCGCATTAAGAATGCATACGTCTCCGCGTCCAGAATCCCTGAAAAGCTCTCCCTTGGCCAAGGCCACTTGTTCTAAACTGCCAAGGTTCTCCATATGAGCAGGACCGACGTTTAAAACCACCCTCACCGACGGCTTGCAAATCCTGGACAGCTCCAAAATCTCCCCCAGGTGGTTCATTCCCATCTCTATAACGCACGCCGGAGAAAAAGATGGCAGTGCTAGTAGTGTCAGAGGAACGCCAATATGATTGTTCTCACTCCCCTGTGTCTGGTGTATGTGCCCGAGAGATTCCAGAGCCAGTGCGACCATAGCCTTCGTGGTTGTCTTCCCACAACTCCCAGTAATTCCCACTACATGACCTCTATATCTGTTCCTTGCATCGACCGCCAGCTTGTGCAAAGCTGCCAGAGAATCCGACACCTCCACGAATCCCACGGGCCAGTCTGTCGGCATCGATCGGCCAATCGCTCCAGCACACCCGGCGGCCAGGGCTTGCGCAAGGAAGCTGTTCCCATCGAAATTTCGACCTACGAGCGCTAGAAACCAGTCACCCCGGTGGATTCCCCTAGTGTCTGTGCAAATGCTGCCAGGCGATCCCTGCTTCGCTAAAATCCCGCCCACCGCCTGCGCGATCTGCTGGCAATCCCAGATTACCCCGCGAGGACCGTCCTCCCAATCTCCAAACGAGCGGCCGGAAGACGCTAGCGTCTTCGATCTAAAGCTCCTGGAGCAAACTATCGTACCTGGAGCTCGCGTCGTGCTGGGCGGAGCGCAGAGGACGACGCCCAGCAACATTCCTCAAGAACTAGGGTTTAATCTATGCCGTTGGAATCTAGTTTGAATTTGACCGTCGGATTAAAGACCTGTTAGAGAAAAAAAGAATAAAATAGAATTTATCAGAGACAGGTTTCGATCCTGTGACCTGTGGGTTATGGGCCCACCACGCTTCCGCTGCGCCACTCTGATTTTGTTGTAAGCCTCTATCTGAAAGAAATTATCGCATTTCTTGTGTAAAGGAAGTAAATGAGAGAGTTTAGGTCTTTCTCGGGGGAAGGAAGGATGAATGCCGACAGTGGCCATCGCAAGGGCGAGATCGCGGAGCTTAAATCCCAGCTCCGGCAGCTCGCGGGTAGCCGGGCGCCCGGCGTGGAGGAGGTGAAGCGCGAGCTCTACAAGAAGGTAATCTCCTACATGACCATCGGCATCGATGTCTCGTCGCTCTTCAGCGAGATGGTGATGTGCTCCGCGACATCGGATCTCGTCGTCAAGAAGATGTGCTACCTCTATGTCGGGAATTACGCCAAGGTCCATCCAGATCTAGCGCTGCTCACCATAAATTTCCTCCAGCGGGATTGCCAGGACGATGATCCGATGATCCGGGGCCTGGCGCTGCGGAGCTTGTGCTCCTTGAGGGTGATGAATTTCGTGGAGTACTTGGTCGGGTCTCTCAGGAAGGGCCTCAAGGATAACAATGGTTACGTGAGACAGGTAGCTGCGATGGGAGTGCTCAAGCTCTACCACATTGCTCCTACTGCTTGCATTGAGAATGATTTCGTGGCTACATTGAAGAGCATGCTTTCTCAGGATCCCGATGCTCAGGTTCGTGAGTAGTTCTTCCTTTTTTCTTTTCTTTTCTTTCTTTCTTGATATCTTGTTTACTCACTTTGTTACCTTTAGGTGGTCGCGAACTGTCTGTGTGCGCTGGAAGAGATTTTGGTTCTGGAGAGAACCAACAGTGACCGTGCAAACAAAGATCGGGAGATGCTACATAGCAAGCAAATCGTTTTCTCGCTGCTAAACAGGCAAGGCTCCGGTTTTGAAAGCTTTGCTGCTCTTAATTGTTGTGCTTGATACAGGATCAAGGACTTCTCCGAATGGGCTCAATGTCTCGTGCTTGATATGGTATCGAAGTACATTCCGGTGGATCCAAATGAGACATTTGATATCATGAACCTGTTGGAAGATCGGCTGCAGCATTCCAATAGTGCGGTGGTGCTAGCAACTATCAAAGTTTTTCTTCAGCTGACAATCTCTATGGCCGACGTTCACCAGCAAGTGAGTTCGTTTGTTTTTCGTTCGCATTGTTAAGTTTGGTTGGTTCTTCAGGTATACGAAAGGATAAAAGCTCCTCTGCTTACTTTGATAAGCTCGGGCAGCCCAGAGTTATCGTATGCGGTGCTCAGCCATCTCCATTTGTTGGTAATGAGAGCACCCATACTGTTCTCATCCGATTACAAACATTTTTACTGTCGCTATAGTGACCCGTCTTACGTGAAAAAGCTGAAAATTGAGATGCTTACTGCCGTTGCGAGCGAGAGCAACATGTACGAAATTGGTGAGCATCTTTCCTCCAACACTTTAGTTCTTGATGTTGAAGTATTTGATCCACTGAATGCAGGCTTTGTTTTTTGAATGATCAGTGACAGAGCTTAGCGAGTACGCGGCAAACGTGGACGTTGGAATAACGCGAGAAGCCATAAGGGCCGTGGGAAAAATCGCGTTAAACCTTTGCGACGTCAATGCGATCGTTGATCGGCTGCTTCAGTTTTTAGAGATGGAGCGGGATTATGTTACTGCGGAAACACTGGTATGGCTATTCAATTTAAAGACATCCCTTACGCTTTGGTTTCGTTTCAGGTCTTAGTGAAAGACTTGGTGAGAAAGTACCCAGAATGGAGTCATGACTGCATTGCGGTTGTTGGAAATGTGAGTAGCAAAAGTATTCAAGAACCGAAAGCGAAGGCAGCTCTCATATGGATGCTCGGAGAGTATTCTCATGATATGCTCGATGCACCTTATGTGCTTGAAAGTTTTGTGGATAACTGGCTGGAAGAGGACTCTCCCGAGGTTAGTCTTGCTCTCTACGTTTGTCTTTCAGTTCTGGAAAGCAGTTATTGTTTACAGGTTCGTCTGGAGTTGCTGACAGCCGCAGCAAAGATTTTTTTCAAACGACCACCTGAAAGCCAAAAGCTTCTTGGAGCTGCATTAGCAGCAGCGGTTGACGATCCTGATCAGGTACGTTTCTTCTTAATCCGTTATTTAATTGATAATTGCTTGTTAATCTTTGCCAGGACGTCCACGACAAGGGTCTGTTCTATTATAGGCTTCTTCAACAAGGGGTTCAAACTGCGGAGTCAATAGTCAATCCACCAAAGAAGGCAGTCTCTGATTTTGCAGATATCCAAAACAGTGAAATGAGAGATCGAATATTTGATGAATTCAACAGCCTATCTGTCATCTACCGCGAGGTGAGCTGTTATTTGAAGTTTCTACCATGTATAAAGTGGACTTTTTGCAGCCTTCGTACATGTTTTTGGACAAGGAACATAGAAAACTGTACGAGTTTTCTGATGAAGCAGCCCCAACTGATGTGTTGCCGACACAAAAACTGGACGCAAACGACAATGATTTGCTCCTTGGTGCGTTTGATAAGGAAGAAAGCCAAAGTGGCGTGAGCAACGGGGATGATGGACCACTCAGTGCGCCACGATCGCCATCTCCAACGCTACTAGGTGACTCAGTGCCTCCAGTGTCAGCTTCAAATATTCCTGCGGCATTCGGGATTGATGATCTCCTCGGCCTGAACATCTCTACGCCACCTCCTCCTCCGCCATCATTGGTACTCAGCTCAAAGCCAGTTCTCGACTCTGGCACGTTTCAAAAGAAATGGTCACAGCTTCCTGTTGCTCTAAGTTTCGTAAGTACCACTCAGTCTTACATGGCGTTCGCTAACGACGTGCTTTTGTTAACAGGAGCATCCAATCTCAGCGCAGAGCCTCAAGACCACTCAGCCGCTTCTGCGCCATATGCAGGAAAAATCTGTGCAGTGCATGGCGTCGGGTGGCCAGAGCCCGACTTTCAAGTTCTTCTTCTTCGCGCAGAAGGCCGATGGGATGCCTGGGACAGGCTTCTTCCTCGTGGAGTGCCTGGTCCATACGAGCGCAGGAAAGGCCAGCGTTAAAGTAAAGAGCGAAGATTCGACATTTACAGCGGCCTTTAGCGACCTTTTCAAGTCCGCACTATCGTCCTTCATGTAGGTGGCTGTAATATCCTTTTCTGTACTTCTTCGTACTAACGTCTTACATTTCGCAGCATTTGACCAGTAGCTCGAGTTGTCTAGATGAACAAGTGCAAGAGAAAGAAAGAAATCCTTGAGGTTTGCGGCCTACATTGTGCTTTCAAGAATATCGTGTAGGATATAGTTGCTTTGCTAAAGATTCTCCAGGCTGACGACATAGAGATCGACGAGCTCTTGAGCCTGCGAGGAATCCAGGACGACGTCGCTGTTCTCAATGTGCCAGAGCAGGAGGTGGAAGAGATCGACCGGGCAGGGGATTTGCAGCGGTCCCTGGTGGCAGAAACCAAACTTCTCCTCGCACTTTTTGAGCAGCACCTTGAAGATGGGATGGTGGAGGTGATTGGTCGGGACGATGAACCTCTCCTGGTGCTGCTCGCCAACGTAGACGGCGAGGTATCCTCTGGGAACATCGGCGGTTCTTGAGTAGGAGCTCTTGTCACCGCTCAGTGGGCTGTAGCTGCCGCTCCTCCGGCTGCTCCGCAAGCTCGCCAGCTCCTGGAGGCCTTTGAGGACGAGCTTGGTGACCGTCTTGTGGAAGCTGGAGCTCCGCCCGGGCATGGTGGTGTTGCTGCTCGCCTTGCGATCGTCTCCTCCGCCTCTCAAGAGACTTTGCTGCCGCTTGTTCGTCGTCGTCATACACTCCCGGCCTGGAAGACTTGCAGCATGAGAGAACACTGGGAGAGAAAAGACGAGAAGGGAGAGCGCTCGGATTTTGCGCTCTTGTGTGGCCCGGAAGTTAGTCAAATGCCGCTCGGCTCGCGAGTATCATCGTCGTTATCATAGACTTTGCTTGAGGCAGGGGCGAAACAAGGAAAGAAAAACTCTGCGTACATTCTCTCCAGGGTCGAGAGTCATGCTTCTTTGATGATACGCTGCTAGAGAAATAGTGGCGAATCACTGCTCCTCTTCTCTCTCTCCTCTCTCTCTCTTTCTCTCTGGCTTGAGGCATATAAACGAAAGACAGAGAGAGAGGGAGAGACGTTCTCTTTGTTGCTGCTTTCCTCAGAGAAAGAATAAGAATTTCCTTTCCTCCCCTCGGCTATAATTCGCATCGGTCAACTGGGAATGGAAGAAAGGAGTAAAAAAGAAAACCACAGTTTTAATGAAATGAGGCCAAGCACCTACCTTTGCAGAAGCTTCTCCGACCGAGCATATGCTCGCATCGGCACACATCATGCGAGTAAAAGCTTCGGGCCTTGACTTGTCGTCCGCGAAGCTCTGATAAGAAGAGACTTTGAATGGCTCGGGGTGGACTTTCCGATCGATCCTCACAGCTCGCGGGAAAATTTCTGGCTTGTGACGAGCGTAATACTTGAAAGATTCATTCATCACAGCTGCAAGGAAAGATCGTCGGGACCAAGACCAAGGTGTGAACAAAGAAAATACTCATGCCTCGTGTACGGCTTTGAAAAGAACTTCCCGCTGGGTCCCGGTCCTCGAGTGCACGGAGAGCTCTACGGACGGACTAAAGAAGAACTGTCAAGGCAAACAAAAGAGATCTGGACCAACAAGTCAAAGGAAAACTAAACATCGTGCTCAAAGCCACTGCTGAAGAGGAGAAAAAGCGAAAGGAACGTTTTATATTTACCAATGTGATTCAAGCTCCATTCATGGTGACAACCACCTTCCTTGCTCCGCCACGATCACGATGCTCGCACAGCCAGATTCCCTTCGCAAGCAGAGTTAAAGTCGCAGCGAGTTTCGGAGCAAAAGTTACCTGCCAAGTTCCCAAGTTTAATCGCCCATCGGTGATCGGGATCCTGTAAAGAGCAAGCAATAAGAGCAAAGAACAATCCACACCCTCACACGACAAAAACCAGAACAAACTTACGTGACCGAGCAGCCAAACATTGACGACTTGATGTGTGCGGGCATGTCATCCGGGCCTGAAAAAGAAAAAGTGAGTTGTTTCTTTCCGCCGCGACAGAAGAATCGAGGACAAAAATAAGCGTACCTTCCATTGTGTGCTTCCATGGAGCGGCACGACCCTGTCGAGGACCACCACCGAATCAAGGAGATCAGGGACAGGGAAAACTATCGCTAACAGCGTGGCCATGGCTACCTCGGGCACAGTCTTGTTTAGAAACGTTTCTACATCTTCCTGGACATCGCTATCGTAATTCTCGTTCACCGTCAGAGACGCGCTCGTGTGTTGCACTAAGTAGCAAAAAAAATAAAAGTAAGGAGAAGTAAGTAAGAACGTGACAAAAAAAGATTCCTAAGAAGCTCAATGAGGAACACGCAAAGAGATGCGAGGGAAAAAAAAAAAAATTAGAGAATGGCAAAGTAAAAAGACTTACAAAAGAAATGTGCAAAGCCACACTTGATTGACGAAAGGTCCGCCTCGATGTCGCGAAGAATCTGGGAGGAGATGGAATTTGACCTAGGCGAGCTAAGCGCGTGGAAGAATCCAGCGATGGGAGAGTACCTGGGACGTGACGAGATGGCAGCCGCGCTTGTGAGGGGGGAGCACCACCGTTCGCTGTAGCCATTTGCTCGCCATAGCTGAAAATTCCCAGAATGAATTCTAGGGTTTAGCAGAATATGCTTTTAACGTCTTGAAATTAATCGCACAGAATATTCCACGAAAGATGCGGCTTAAGCCTTAAGCCCTACTTCATAGCGGCATATGCAGTCGTAGATGGCGCCATTGAAGAGTTTCTCTGCCAAGCGCTGGTTTTTCACCATAGCTAACTGGTAAAAAACAAAATTACCACACCACATTTTGAGGAGGATAGGAAGAGAGAGAAAAAGAGGAAAATATATACCTTTAAGGCCTCACACGTAAACCGGGCGTCATAATTCGTGTGCAACGATCTTCCCATGCCTTCCAAAACAATCTGTTTATTTGGCGTCACTTTCGTCAGCGATGCTTTCCCAAGGGACTCGGGAAGAATGGAAAGTTTTTTACCAGGTCCGCCTCCTCGGCGAGTATCGCCAGCTCCGAGCTCACTTGGCGGAAGTCGAGGCACGGGCTGCCGGAGCCGCTCTGGACGACCATGAGCCTGGGAGCTGTGGACGTCGTCGCAGATCGATCGTCGAGAGAAGTAGCATTGAGCAGCACGCCGCCAGCTATGGCGGCCTCTCGAAGAATGCTACAATGCTGCAATGCAAAGAGAGTGGTCTTACTCCCCAAACATATGGAGTCTTCACGTTTACCGTGGCTGCTGCTGCTACCACCGTTGGAAGCTCCATGTAAGTGACATCGTTGATTGCAGGGAGCGTGTTCGCAACCAGGACAACCTGTGAGTGAGAGAAAACTTAGGAGCTGGCTTGAACGAAAGGAATCGGGACACAAACGTTGATACCTCTGTGCCGCGTCTAAGGAGCTCACGAGCAAACGGGAGCATCCCCAGGACGATATCGGCTCCAGAGTTGTCGACGAAAAGCAGTGCTCTGTAGTGCGGTTTTCCTGACATCCACCTGTTTCGAAACGCATCAAAGTCGTCCACCTGATCACAGCGAAGTAAGTTCTTGTTACAGGAACTGCGAGAAACAGTACTCTCCAGGGCCGCTGCATTTTGTTGCGACTCATGCGGTATATCTCGATAATGGTACCGCTCTGATAGAGCTCTACGCAGGCTCGAGAACCCCAGTCAAAAATGTTAGCAGCGAGGACGCCTTCTATTATTGTAAGTAATCTTGTCTCCTGTGCATATAGATGAGAATGAACATGACAAATCTTAGGCTAGTACCGTGTCCATGGTGTCAAGCTCCGAAAAGAGGTCAGGCAATACCGCCAGGGATGCTTCATTTTCCCTGCAATAAGAGACAGAGACTTGAAGAACAAAATAGAGGACAGTACCAACCTTTGCTTGATTGCTCGATACGCATCCGTGAAGTGGAACTCTCGAAGGCACTCTTCTCTGAGTTCTAGAAGGTTTGCAAGGCCGAGCTTCCCATACGCTGCTGGTTCTTCTCTCAACCTGAACTCCTAGCTGAACAATTTTACGTAGAAAAAACCACAATTACCTCGCAAGATGGGCTCGAAAGGCTTGTGCAAAAGCGTCACCTCTGCGCTTTGCGTTGTCGGTGCCACCTTCACTAGCGACAGCCTGAAAAAAACAGTTTTTCTGAAGCTCGGTCGCGAGTTTTTGTGAATACCTTTTCAACCAAGTTCGGCAGCTGTTCGGAAAGAATGTTAAACCAATACCTGCAAGGTTATAGATAAGTTATTAGTTCCAAATAAAAACAATGATGACTAATTCCTTACTCTCGCTCATCAAGGTCTCCCAAGTCAATGGTGTTAGGCTCGTACCTAAAAGCAAACAACGTCAATGTAGCTGATGGGAAACTAATGCTTGCTTACACACGTTTTCGGATCTGCTAGCAGCGGAAATGGTTCAAGAGAAGGTATTAGGTGAAGGACACCAACGTTAAGTGCTGCACTTGAATCAGAACGTAGCGACCTGGCACGACCTAGAGGACGCTCAAAACCACCGAGCCCAGTTGTGCTTGGATAACCTGTTGGTACTGGGGCAGTAATTTCTCCACCCTTTTGTACAAACTTTTCCATCCAAGTGATCTAACATTCGAATGCGGTTAAAAAACTGAAACAAAATATCTGCTGAGTACCTTCTCGTTTAGATCCCGAATAAGAGGGCCATGAATATTTCCCCCGGAGTATGGAGCACCCATAGGAAACCGCTCCACAAACTGGTGCGCGGTCAGGTTGGCAAGACCGTGTTTGTCGTAGCTCAAAAATGCACCTAGCGCGCCAAGAAATCCTTCATGCCTCAAGAACATTGCCTGCGCTTCACCTTTCGACCTGTGCGTTGATCTACGTTAAAAAATTTCAAGCAGTGTCGAAAACATACCAGAAAGAGATGGCGAATGACATTGTGTCCATTGTGTATGCATGCCCGCGAATAAAAAAGCCTCCAAAAAATATGCGTTTTAATTTGTATCTGATAGCATTTAAGTAAGCAATCTGCAAGAACAGTATCAGAAGCCTACTAACCGGAATGCCTCATAGTACACAACCTGACCAATGTTGTAAGAGATCATTCGAAGTAAGGAAAGGGCAATATCCTCTTTACGGTAATCCGAAAGACTCTTTGTTTCAGATATAACTCTACCAAAGCTGGAAGCTATTGTTGACGCAGACAATCCAATCTGTCATGAGATTATAAATTTAAGAAACGACCGCAGCATATACCTTCGAGTAGTCTAGGCCGCCGTAGATATCTCCTACAAGCATATCGATGGCACTATTATCACCTTGCTGGCTTAGCTCCAATATCTGGTCGAATCTGCAATGCATTATTTACAGAGGATTGACAGGAGGCCAGAAAACAGCATCTCTTACGTTTTACATCCTGTTAGCAATCGGCCAAGGCCCCAAAAGGTTCCTCCACCAACATTTGTCCCACTCACCCTTTGAAATTGGCCATCTGCATCAACCTGTTCCTCGATTTTAAATACTTTGTTGTGTACAAAGGCACCGTACCTTGATCATGCTGACACCAGATCCGATGTTAACGAGAAGGTACGGGAACATATCGCTTTGGTCAATTTGAACGAACTGCTTATTCCCTTCCAAGTGTGTGAATGCCTCGTCTCTGATAGCCTGCCTTGAAGAAGAAAGGTAAAAGATCCGTTTCCCGGAAATGGTGTGAGAGCTTACTCTTTGTAAGAAATTTGCTCCAGCGACCAAGCAATCCATCTCGTCCTCTTTGTCGAGTGTCACACCCAAACGCTCCTTGAACATATCCGCGTACTTGAATGCCCCGCCACCCGTGGCCTTCATCCACCACCCGCAAAGCAATTACAAACGACAAGGAAGTCTCGTCACTCACCTTAATTGTGATTCCTTCCTCTGACCGGCTAACTACACAGCACTTCTTAGAAACAGCGCAAAATAAAAAAAGAAAAGAAAAGAAAGAGCTTACATGGATCATTGCAGCAATGAAGCCGCTTTGACTCGATAAAGTCCAGGCACTCGTTGATTTTCCCGGTCTCAAACTTGACGAAGTGAAGCCGCCCGCCAGAGAAGTGACCGCGAAGGCTGGGAGATTTTGGCTGCTCCCCCGATCTTCTGGAGCTAGAAGGCTCGGGATGCCTCGAAAAATAGATCAGCTTGATAAGCGAGCCTGCGATCAAAATATTGACTCGGCGATGCGATGAATGGGAAGAAGGAAGAAAAAGAAAGGAAAGAATAGAAATTCTACCTCCTATGTCGATTGCGAAGTGGCTGATGTCGTCGTTTTGATTCGGCAGAAGAATGCTGGGGTTTCGATCCTCCGTGGATCCTTGAATCGCAGCGCCGCTCAGATCCAGCTGCGGCCGCGACAAGCTCCTGGGAATCGATTGCTGCTGGTGCTGCTGCTGCGACGCCGGCGGCTCTCCATCCATGGCGCTGGATTGCGTCGCCATTCCCGATGGCGCGCGCTATCTCTACCTAGCTCGAAAAAATATTCACAAACCCCTTTGCATGGGCTACCTTCTTAATCGGCGAATATGCCTTGACGGCGTGAGAACATTCCGTCTGGGCCGGCGGGCGAATATTCGTGGTCCCTTTCACGAGAGCGTTTCAGTGGCCTGTTTAGCCTAAATTGCTTCCACTGAAACGCTCCGGACGTGAAGAAAATCCCGCATTGGCTCTCAATCCATGCGCTGGAGAGAGCTATGGCGGCGCCCTGGCGGACGAATCCGTGCTGGTTCTGTCTAGCTAGCGGCATTGCAATTCTCCTGTGGAGCGCGGCTGGGGCGAGGGCCGATCAACAGCGAGCTGCGACGATCTTCCACAGTAAGTGCTCCTGGAAATCCTTTCTGTGCGCGCTAGTGGCAAATGTAGCTCGGATTTTTTCGAGTAGACAGCAGCATCGATCCCTTGCTTGGTCTCCAATGCATCGCCCTAGTCCTTTGTTCTTCGTGGATTCGTGCCAGTCTTCTTCCTGGACTTTCATCTCTTGCGCTCTTGCAGATACTTCGTTACGCATCGACTGCGGCGGGCCAAGAACTTTCGTGAACGAATTCAAGGAGAAATGGCTCTCGGACAGATTCTACACGGGAGGGAGCACCGCCGCGCTCGTCTCGACCTCGGACCACTTGAGGCGATCCCACGAGTGGTCTCTACGCTACTTTCCTCCCTCAACCGGCAAGAAGAATTGCTACATTGTGGAGCTCCCAAACGGCCGCTACTCCATCCGGATGTTCTTCGTCTACGGGAACTATGATCGCAAGTCCAGGCCCCCAAACTTCGATGTCTCGGTGGAAGGCACGGTGGTTTTCAGCTGGAGATATCCTTGGTCCGACGAGGAAGCAAAGAATGGTGTCTACAGCGATCTCTACACCTTCATCGACGATGGCGACGCGAAGATTTGCTTCTACAGCATTGCGACGGACTCGCCGGTGATAGGGGCCTTGGAGATCGTCTCGGTTGATCCACAGTCGTATAGCTCCCTGGCGACTGGGACCGACGTGATCCTTGTCAACTATGGACGTTTCACTGGTGGGCTCAAGGCTTTTGGAGCTGGTGTGAGCCGCGAAGGTGACAAACTCGGTCGGGCATGGGAACCGGATGCTACTCTCGCCACCACTTTCGGGGAGAGCTTTTATCTCCGAACGGATGATCCTATCAAGAACGCTGAGGTTGCTCCAAACTATTTCCCACAGCGGCTCTACCAGTCGGCTCACACGCTAACTTCACCCGGCAGCATCGAGTTTATGTTCACGGTGGACACGAGCCTCGACTACATGCTGTGGTTTCACTTCGCGGAGATTGATACGGCGGTCACGGCTTCTGGCCAGAGAGTTTTCGACGTCTTCATCAACAGCGAAGCTGCGTTCTCGGAGGTGGATGTTTACAAGGAGGCTGGAAGCTTTGCTGCTTATGACTTGTTTCACGTACTTAAGAACCTCACTGGCTCGGCTCTCAACGTGACGCTCTCGCCGCGAGTAGGAACACCAATTCTCAATGGATTGGAGAACTATGCAATCCTCCCTATGGATCTATCAACAAGCGTGGATGAAGGTATGTTAAAGGAAGTTTCGGACGTGATGTTTGTAAACGTTTTTTTTTTTTTTTTTTTTTTTTTTTTTTTTTTTGCAGTTCTAGCAATGCTAGCTTTGAAAGAAAGCTTGCGAGTTCCTGAGAGAATGGGATGGAATGGCGATCCTTGTGCTCCGTTTAATTGGGATACATGGGAAGGTGTCACTTGCAATTATGCTCCGGATGGGAAATCCCTCGTCATCACTCGTCTGTAAGTTTTCAGTGCTTTACTTCTCTTTCTCATTTAAGGCACGAGCAGGGATTTGTCTGGTCAAGGACTGAAAGGAACAATCAACGACAAAATCACCTCACTGAAGCATCTGAGATATTTGTAAGTTCCGCTCTAGAAACACATTTCAAGGCCCGAGTTTGATGCATTCTTCTTGGATCCACAGGAACATGAGCAACAACAACTTACGAGGAAGCATTCCCTCCGGTCTTGGAAACGACAATCTCGAAACTGTGTAAGTTTTATATTCATTGACTTGGCAATTTAATGTGCTGGACTTTTGGACAGGGATTTGTCTTCGAATGATCTGACAGGAAGCATTCCAGAAAGCTTGGGCCAAGCGCAACTTGTCAAAGTGTAAGAACACGTTTTTCTCTAGAAACTTTCGCCTAATCTTTAACAGGCTTCTAAACAACAACGAGCTAAATGGACAAGTTCCACTGACTCTCTACACCATCGGTGTACGTGGTGGATTCTTCAAGTAAGAAAAGAGCTTATAGATTTGTTCCTCTTCTTTTGGCGAACTTACCATTCTCTCCGGATCATTGCAGCATTTCTTCCAACGACGATCTCTGCGGAGTTCCCGCACTGCCCGATTGCCCCTTCTGGCAACGCCAGGAGCTCTCGACTCCTGCTAAGATTGGCATAGCTCTCACAGCTCTAGCCGGCGCTGCTGCTCTTTCCACGCTGATCTACATTTTCGTCATCCGGAGGCGAAGAGACGACTATAACTTTGGCCTTCCTCATCAGCTCGCCTGTAAGTTTAAGCTTGTTCCTTAGGAGCAACTCCTGGCTCTTTCTTCTTTCTTTTTCTCGCAGCTCGGAGCGCACGGTATCAAAGACACAAATCTAAGCTACGACTGGAAGATTCGTCCGCGCCAGTGTCAAAGTTTGGCTTCGCCGCAAACATGAACACGCTGTAAAAACAAAACATAGATATCTACCTTTTAACTACAACAGTGAAGTTTTAACGGATTTTAGGGCAGGGAGAAGTGAATGGCAAGCGCGATCGGGGCGGGAGGAGCTTTGCATGGATCTTGGACGCGGCCGGAGCTGCCCGATCGCCAGCAAGCGCAGGAGACCCTCGGCTGAGGGCGGAGCGTGCATCGATCGATCGAGAATGGAGGATGTTTTGGAGGTTCTTCTCACGGATTTGGATGCGGGGGTCACGGACGCGGCGTTGGAGCACATTTTGCACAGGCAGAGCAGCGATGACGAGAAGGTAGAGTTATTGGATCGATGCCTGGCGCTAGGTCTCCAATTGCAAGGCGTGGCCAATCGGCTCGCTAGAGAGCACGCCGCGCAGCACAACTCCTCCGTGTGGCCGTTTACTCCTGATCTAAGCATTAAGGTGAGCTCGCTCTGGAATTTTTTTTTCTCCTCCTTGATGGGCGATGGTTTGCACGAAGCGAAGATTTTCTCGTCGCTGGGAACGCAGACTTTGTGCCAGGCAGCGGCGGCGTGTACCATGTTTAGCAAGCTCGCGCTGGAAGCTGCTTGCTACACTAACATCGATCTCACGACTGGCGGATCGACTGTGACGGATGAAACGGTGGAAAAGGTCATTCACCGAGCTGGCCGCTGTCTCAGGTTTTGGTTTCGTTCTTTCTCTCGTTCTAGACTAAGTTCCATTTGATTTTTCAGATCTTTGAAGCTCGGAGTTGTGCTCCACCATTGCCGTTTGCACGGACTGAAGCCGAGTTCTAGTCCTCTCAAGTTTCCTGTCATATATGACAGAAGCATGTTCAACAAATCTTCGGAGTGGACGGCTTGTCCTCTCTCAAAGAGCTGCCTTCGTCCATTGATTGTCGATGGTGTAGCTGGGTAAAATTTTTCCTGTTTGCAAATCCTCGCTTACGATCTTTCCTTGCGTTTTGTTTCTCTTTCTTCAGAAGAATGTTGAAGGCCTTGCATCTCTACAACATCGAATCCATGGACAGCAAGTTCCTTTGCAAGGCACTGATGGCCTGTCCCGCTTTGATGGATTTGAAAGTCGTTGGCCTGTAAGAAGGAATAGTACCTTTTTATTTCTTCCGCGCTAACTTCTTACCAGCTTTTAGCAACGTGAGCTTGACGACATTGATGGATTGCTTGGGCACTACTTGTCATGAACTCGAGGGTCTATGTTGCCAACAGGCAAACCTTGGCTCATGGCCTGGACGTAAGTTTTCTTGCTGCTGTTGTTCGTTCGTCACCGCTTAATGTCCTGTCAAATCTTTGCAGACAATGTGAAATTTAGTGCGTGTAGCACTCTCGTCAAAGGATGCCCAAAGTTACTGTCGTTAACACTGAGTGAGTACCGGCTAGCAGACAGAAAAGCTTCCGTCCTTTTGACTGTACGTTTATTGCTGGATTGTTTTTATGTCAGCTGAAACTCTCGTGCTTCTCAGGGACTGGAGCACCTTACTCACGCTGATTTCTCTGGAGCCGATTACCTCAATGGTTTCTTCTTGAGGTAAGCGAGTGAAGAGTATCTCTTGTAAACTGAAAGCTGAGCTCGAGTTGTGTTTTGTTAGGAACCTCGTCGGCTGTGCTGAGCTTTGTCTCAAGACCTTGATTTTAAGAGATTGCGTGCGTTTGAAAGAGGTGTTAACTCGTCTTCACTTCCGGATTTGTTAATGGACGGAAATGCAGGTTGAAGTCCAACGTTTTCTCTTTGGCTTAAGAGCAGGCGAATGCAAGAACCTCCGTCACCTTGTGAGTTATTAAACATACCTGAAGGAGCTAGCTAACAGCGGCCTTATTGTTTCAGGACATTTCTAACAGAAACAATCTAGTTGGATCGGACTGGGGAAGAAGGATTCGTCCGAGGTACGTACGTTCCCGTTCCAGCCTTCACAAAACTAACTCTGCTCTCTTACATGGAAAAAGCTCCGAGTCGTTACTAGTTTTGCGCTCCGAACGTTCGGATCTCTGCCTCATGGCCGACTACCCAAGCTCCAAATGGTATGCCGATTTGAAATCATATCGCTCTTTGCTCAGTCCTTGATCCTTCCCTCACAGTGGCAGTGATAGCTCCGTGAGCATGGACAGCTTCGAGGACAGCGAGAACGAGCAGATCCAGCTGAGCATCGAGTCCTCGGAGTACATGTCGGAGAACAGCTTCAGCTCAAGCAGTAGCAGCAGCCAACAGGACGAAGAGGAAGTGGAAGATGACGAGGAGGACCAGTACTTGATGAGCCAGGACGAGTTTTTTGAAGGCGATCTCGGAGAGCTCAGCCGTGGCAGTGAACAAAGCGATGGCATCAGATTCAACCTTCCTCTACCAAGTTTCGGATGAGACAAGCAACAGAGAAGAAAGGCCGCATTCAACAAGAAAAAACTCTGGCTCTAGAAACTCAGTCTCTATCCTTACCGAGAACGAGGAAGAGCTTCTCCCTCTCCAGCGCAAAAATGTTCCACAGCGTCTGCTCATCCGGCTCCCGCTGCTTCTGTGCCAATATCTGCGACTCCACCACCGAAATGGCCGCGTCCTCGAGCTTCTCAATCTCGTCCTCGACGCGCAAGAAACTCTCCATCAACACGTCCTTGACCGCCAACGCTACCGCGACGTTCTCGTATAGCTTCGGAGGTGGCGGCGGCGGGATCTCCTCCCCATCTTCGTTATAAAGTGGCTCGGGTGGTGGCGGCGGCTCCTCCTCCTCGAGCATGTCCGGGTCGAGCCCTTCCTCTATGGCCTTCTGGCGGCGGACCTCAAGACGAGCGTCCTCCTCCGCCTTGGCCTTCGCAGCGATGTCCGCCAGAGTGTTCTCCACCGCGTCGTGGACGGGATGGATGGCCTCGCTGAAGATCTTGAAGAGAGCCAAGTGGAACGTCGACGATGGATGAGCTGGGATCTCCGCCAGCTTCTTGATCTTTGGACACAGGCTGAGCACCTCGCGCCGGTTCTCCTCGCTGGTGATGTTCTCGCTGGCCTTGATGGTGTTTGCGAGCGATCCGTCCCACTCTATAGTGAGAACCGGCTCTGGCGGCGGGGGTGGCGGCGGGGGTGGCGGCGGGGGGGCTCCTTTCTTGGGTGGCGGAGGTGGCGGCGGTGGTGGTAACTCTTCTACTGGAGGCTTTCGACTCTCGGCCTCCTCGAGCAAGGTGGCGTTGATGGCGGTGACGAGCTTGCGGCAGTAAGCGTCGGCGGCTGGGTTGTGGTACATTGGTGGCTCCGAGCCGAGGTTTCCTCGCAGGAATGCGTAGGCCGCGGGGGAGTACAGGTAGTCGGGCTTGCTCTTGAGCGTGGTGCATGTCAAGTCCGAGGAGTTGTCCAGCAGCTCTTCGATGACTTCCTCGACTCCGTGCATCATCTCTCGGTACTCGAGCTCCCGGGTCAGCTTGTTCCTCAGGTCCCTGCGAAAACAAGATGAAGTTCACGCAAAGTTTGAGATGGAGGGAGGAGTTTACCCTTTGAGATCTTCGGTCGTGGCTACGCCCTTGAAGTAGATTGGCGCGGGAGGGTCGGGCAGCACGGGAGTGGTCCAGAGGACCCACGTCTCGTAGAAGGATCCCGCAAAGTTGGAGAAGAAATTGAAACGGAAGTTTTGCACTTCGCCGGGTAGTATGCGGCCGCTGGATGCCAATACGGTGAAGCGGTTGTGACGAGGAACTTGGAAGTTTTTATCTGCCAAAGGGATGTTAGAGCTTTGATGAAAACTATCTTTCCAAAGCTATAACATATTGTCTCGACAATAGCAAATACCATTCCAAGACTTTGATGGCTCCACGATTGGATCCTGAGGCCGCTTCTTCCAGCTATAGTAAACGGCAACAGTGCCAACGTTTCTCATGGTGACATCTCGACTTGCTATCTCACCTGATGCAAGCACAGGCCATGTTTCGGAGCAACGGCAATTTTCGAGCTTTCACAAACCTGCCTTTGCTGTGAACAGTAGCGATTCTGTGCTAACTTTGATGGCTGGCTGGCTGTAAACCTCGCCAGCAGGCGCCTCCTCGCTTTTCTTTCCAAACTGTAAGCCGGAAGAACAAGAAAAACACTTCAAAAACACAAGCAAATTCCTGAAAGTCGACTACCTTGATACGCTCTCCTCCTTTCCGCTGCCGTTCAGCCTCTGGTTTGATCTTGTTTCCTACAAGCTGCCAACACCACTCCGTTGTTAGAAGATCGTTAATAGAAAGCAAACACTAGCTCTAAAGTGTTGCCTTGCTGAGAGGATGCGTCACCCCGTCTAAAACCGCCAGCCATCCATTACCAGAAGAAAAACTTAGCAAGCTTTGCAAACCCTGGCTTGTCCCAAAGAGATGAGAGCCACCACAAGTGGATTCCAATCCCAAAACACCACTCCTGTTAAAACATTATTCAAGGTTTTGAAAGCAAGCCTCGGCTTCCAAAACCATTAGAAACTGGACAAAAGAAAGAAAGCTTTCGAAGAAAACTAAAGCTCTGGTACATACCTGGAAACCATGAAAGTTTGGACGATGAGGCACTGTTGTCCGGATCCCCTTCTCGAGGCGCTCCATGTAGAGCTCAAACGGCCCCCATCGGCTTTTTCTCGTGTCCTGCCGCGAGTCTGTTTTGGTGAAGTAGTCCAGAGACATGTTTTCTTTGAGCGGGTTGCCAATCCTTTCGAGCGTGCGCTGAGCTAGAAGATCGTAAGGCATAGGCACAGCCGTTAAGTCACCAATCATAGGCTCGACCATCCAGTAATCTCGCAAGCTGATCTCCCACTGCCAAGAACCGGGAGGAAAAAAATGAGAAAACAAAAACGAGAGCTCGTGAGAAATCGAACAGAGGGAGCTTACCGTGTTTTCTCCGTAGTATCTATCTAAGTCGGACTTGGATTTCTCAAGGATGAGAATGTTCTCTTGCTTCAAGCGATAGAGGTTGATGTTTTCCATGAGTATGTCCTCCTCGACTTTCTCGGTTTGCTTCATTGCCAGCTTTTTGGACTCCTCGTAGTTTCGACAATGGTACTGGTATCGCCTGCGAGATAGAAACAATGAGCAAGAACTTTCTTCTATCTAGAACAGAAGAATCAGGAAAAAAAAATGGAAGTGCTGCTTACTTGAAGGCGTTCTGGTGCTTGCGGTCCTCGATTTTCTGGAAGATGTGCTTCTTCTCTTTGGCAACCTTTTTTGGCGGCTTGAAGATGGACACCCTCGATCGCTTTTGCAACTCAGAGGGAAGCTCCTGGAGGGGCTGCGCGAGCGCCTTGTTTGAATCAAAGCCATCGCCAGGGACTGGAATCATGGTCGCCCGGAAAGACCAATTGTTCTTCTTCACCGGGTACATGTTCTTGGCCGCCATGGCGCCGCCCTCCGCCCTCTCTCCAATTCAAATGCTGGAAACGCGCCAAATGCCGAGCCCTAGGTCCCAGCTCGGCCGAGGTTCGAATCCCTTCCTAGCTCGTTCGATCGATCTAATCGCTATTCTAGCTAAGAATCTCCCTCGCATCGATTACCTTGCTAGGTCTTGGCGAGCCTTTCTCTTGATCTCTCATTTCTTCGCTCTAGCAACGCCAGCGATCGCGAAGCCCTCGCATTCTTCCTTTGGCGGGAGTGATTTCCTCGAGCTCCGAAAGGTCGCGAGCTCGAATCCCAGCTGGGCCGGATGGACTGACGGAATGTTCTTGGTGATATTTGGGGGTTTAGGGCTCAAGTGACGGAATATGATAGGGCCTTGCTCGAGCTGGAGATAGCGCGCGCGCCATGGCGGGCGTTCTTCCTTTCTCATGCTTCCAGCGGCGATATTTCGACGCGCCCGACACAAAATGTGGATCTTCTTCTCTTTCAGATTGCGCTGAGCCGTGTTCTTCGTCCGTCGCCTCTCCGTGCTGGATTTCGTCGAGGTATGATCCACGCAGAGCAGCGCGGGGGGTTAGAATCCAGGTAGCGGCTGCAGTAGCGAGGAATTCTCCAAGGATTAGGAACCTTAGGAACAATCCCGGCCCGGCGTTGAGCCCCGAGCAGCTTGCGTGGGAACGGATGATGCTCGAGGTAGAGAAATCTCCCGAGCCACTGGCAATTCTCAAGAAGTACGCTGGAGATGGAAATATTTCTAGGGAGAGTGTCGTCGGGACGCTCACCAGGTTTAAGCAAATGCAGGCGTGGAAGATAATTATCAAGGTTCGTGATCTTAGGAAAGAAAAACATGTGTTTCTCATTCTTTCTCTTCCAGTTCACGGAATGGCTCATGGAGCAAGGATGGTACAATTTCAACCAGAAGGATTACTTCCTGGTTTTGCTGGCCTATTGCAAGGATGGGCAAGTCGACAAGACGGAAGGAATTTTCCAACGAATGGCAGAGCTTGGTGTTGCGGCCAACATCGAAATGTACACGCTACAAATCGAAGGCTACGGTCGACGACGGAGTTTTGACAAGGCTGAAGCTGTGTTTCAGAGACTGCTAACAACTGGTCCTTCGCCTACAGCACAGACTTATCAAACCATGATGAAATCATACAGTGAGGTAAATCCTCTTTCCTTATTTCCTATCGATCAATGTGTGTTACACAGGCTGGGAGGTTGGATGATGTCCAACGAATTTTTAAGCTGGTAACAGATTCGCCGAGTCCAACAGTAAAACCGGACGCGAGAATGTATAATTTGATGATTCATACGTATGGGAAGCAGGGCAAAGTTGAACAGGCCATGTCCGTTTATCAGTCGATGAAACGTGAGCGCGTGGCATTAACGATAGTTACGTTCAACAGTCTTCTTGCATGTCAAAAGACTTGGAAGGATGCTGAAGATGTTTTCCGGAAGGTAAACATTCATTTCGATTATTTCAGCGATGCTGAACCCGCTCTTTTTATTTTGCAGTTGCAAGCTGCCAAGCTCGACCCAGATGTCTTCTCATATACCGCTCTGGTAAATGCGTACGCCAAGGCGAGGAGGGCGGAATGTGCACACGCTGCTTTCGATGACATGATTGCCGCTGGCATAAGGTAGTGAGTGATTGAATCCTTGTATGATCTAAATTTTTGTTTTTCAGACCGACACAAGTTGCCTATAACGCACTTATTAATGCGTATGCGAAGTGTAAAGATCCGGAGGGAGCACGAGCTGTTTTAAAACAGATGAAACAGAACGGGTATAATTCTCCTAACTATTTTTTAGTCGAGTCTAATAGTCGAAAACAGGTGTACCCCTACCGTGGAGTCCTATACGTCTTTGATATCTGCTTATGTTAGCGTGAACTTGATGGCTAAAGCGGAACAGACAGTTTTGCGAATGAAGGAAGCGGACTTGCAACCCAACTTGCAGACATTTTGCATTCTGATGACGGGCTACGCGAACGGGAACAAGTTAGACAACATGATGAGGTCTTTCGAGACGATGAAGCTTGCGGGATTAGAACCAAACCGTCACGTGTACACGGTACTGGTAAACGCCTATGGGTCCAACGACGATTTTGATTCAGCTATCATCTGGTACAAGCAAATGCTAGGCACTGGATGCAAACCGGATCCAATTCTGAGAACAGTACTGCTGAAAATAGCCAAGAGTCACGAGCAAACGGAGGAGATACACGAGCTTCTAGGAATGCAAAAATCTGCTAGGAGTTTGGAAGAAGGCTTGGACACAGGAGTGGATACTCTGGTTCTGCCCCAACTGGAGAAACAGGAACTAGTGGCTGCTCGATGAAACCACAGACAGGAAATTTTGCTTTAGATCCAGGAAACTAGAGCTGGGGACCTGCTGGAATTGTATACATAAGTCCAAAGGTACGGCCTTTCGTTTAGTTTCGGTTCTGAGTGACTTGTGTTTTGCTCCAGGCTTCAGTTTCTCTACTGTACAGAGCGGAACTGAACTGACTGTTGCAAGCAAGTTGCTGCTGGTCGTGATTAAAAAACAAAGAAAAGAAAAAAAGAACTACTTTTTGTTATCGCTTTGGAGTTGAATGGACGTGAGTTTCTGCATTGCATTTCTTCTCTTTCTAGGTAGTTAGTTTGGATTTCTAGGATATTCTCGTGTCGAGAAATCCATATCTTACAGATCTCGTCATCATAGACCGAAGCTGACAAAAGACAAGGGGACATATTCCAGATTCTCAGCCTGTATGTAAAAAAGACTGGTTTCTTCGGTGTTCTTGAAACAGCAGCAAGAAATGGCAACCACAGTTCTAAGTGTGAGCGTTCCAGCGAAGAATGATTTCCAGCATCCTGTCGAAGATCAGCAACCAGAACTGGAGTACTGCGTCAATGACAGTCCTCCGTGGGGTTCGTATGAATTTTGCATTTCATTTGGTTCTTGTTCCTGCTGACAGTAGTTTTATCTTCTTTTTCTAGTCGAAACATCGTTTCTGGCTTTTCAACACTACCTCACGATGCTCGGAACGACTGTAGTAATTCCAAGTATCATGGTCGACGCAATCGGAGGCGACGATGTAAGTGGAGCATTTTTGTTCTCAAGGCTGACACGCTGCACTGTTTTGTTTCTTTTTTCTCCAGCGACACAGGACTCTAGTTATTCAAGCGTTGCTCTTCGTCAGCGGCCTGACTACGCTCGGTCAGACTTTCTTTGGGACGAGGCTCCCGGCAGTGATTGGAGGATCCTACGCCTTTATGATTCCGACGCTGACAATTATCAATTCCCCGAAACTGCTTAGCATCTATGATTCCGAGGAGGTACTTTGTGTTTGTTTCTTTCTTTGGTGATTGGATTTGAATGTTTACGTTGTAGAGATTTCTTCAAACCATACGTGCAATTCAAGGTGCTCTTATTTGCGCTTCCAGCATTCAAATAGCTCTGGGATTTAGTGGAGTGTGGGGTGTATTTTCAAGGTCAGTTTTGAAAGATTTTCTTCTTTCGTTTGTTGTAACGAACTCGACCAGGTTTATGTGCCCCATGACAATAGCTCCTGTTATTATGATGACTGCTCTAGGAATTTACGAGTATGGATTTCCCGGGGTTGGAAAATGCGTGCAAATTGGACTTCCTCAGCTGGCATTGATACTCATCCTTTCACAAGTATGTTATCAACTTTTTTTTTCTCACCTCACAATGCGTTTGCTCCACAGTACTTGAAATCGGTGAAGCTGCGGCCTCAAGGAATACCAGTGTTTGAGCGTTTTCCGATTATCTTTTCTATGGCCTTAATCTGGGCCTACGCGCAAGTTCTTACACTGAGTGGAGCTTATCGACATTCAAGCCCCTTGGGGCAGATGCACTGTCGAACGGACCGTGCTAATCTCATCAGCTCAGCTCCATGGTAAATCGTTTTGAACGTTCTTAGACACCTTACAGCTTTAAACATATAATGCAGGGTCAGGGTTCCGTATCCTTTGCAATGGGGAACTCCAACGTTCAGTGCAAGTCATGTGTTCGGGATGATGGCCGCGGTGCTTGTTTCTCTTGTTGAGGTGAGGAGTATTTTGGTTTTTATTCACGAGAGGAACTTCGTACGTTCTTCACGCAGTCTACGGGAACTTTTTATGGTCTATCGAGACTTTCGGGGGCGACGCCTCCACCGTCTCATGTTTTGAGCCGTGGAATAGGCTGGCAGGTTCGTGTCACTCAATCTTTTGTTCTCTGATGAAGGTTGACCGTTTTATAAATATGAAAGGGAATTGGAATCATGCTCTGTGGCATGTTCGGGACTGCAACTGGTTGTACAGCTTTAGTGTAAGTTTGAACCTTTTTTGTTATCAAATCTGCAGTTTTCACTTCTGTGGTTTTGTAGGGAGAATGCAGGTTTGATTGGCCTAACAAGGGTTGGAAGCCGAAGAATAGTTCAACTATCAGCTATCTTGATGATCTTCTTCTCGGTTTTCGGTGAGCTGCAGAAACCAATCAAAAAATCATAACGTATTCTCTCTTGTTTTTCAGGTAAATTTGGTGCCATCCTTGCTTCAATCCCCGTGCCACTGTTTGCAGCGGTCTATTGCATTCTGGCCGGGGTGTTAGCTTCGACCGGTTTCACCTTTCTCCAATTTGCAAACTTAAGCTCCCGGAGGAATCTCTTCATCCTGGGATTCTCGCTGTTCCTGGGACTGTCAGTTCCGCAGTACTTTCGAGAGTTCGCCGATTCCGCAGGCCACGGTCCCGTGCACAGTGGAGCCAACTGGGTACGATAAAAACCTCAGCTGTCCTCACCAAAATCTCTACCTCTCTTTGCAGTTTGACGATGCTCTCAACGTTACGTTCTCCTCCAATGCCGCAGTAACTCTGATGGTGGCGGTTCTCCTCGACAACACGCTCGACATTGGAGCGCCAAATGCAAAGAACCGCGGCGTGAATTGGTGGAGCAAGTTCTACAACTTTGGAGACGACGTGAGGAGCGAAGAGTTTTACAAGCTGCCACTAAACCTCAACGATTACTTCCCGCAAGCTTGAAAAAAAATCCAGGCAAGAACATTGGTATACTATATTCTTTTCAAGGACGCTGCTGGCTAAACTTTTCCTGTGCAGGGACGTGGCAACCACTGGTGTGCCTATAATGATAAAGGCGCGACTTTGGTTGGATTCCCGCCACGTAGCCGACGAATATACCCCTCCATGGAAGCCAGGTGCTTCCTCTTCGTCGCCCAAGAACTAAAGAGCTCTGTGTGTGCTGCAGTTAGAGGATAGGGTTAGGGTTTGCGATGCGCCTTCCAGTGGATGGAGAATTCCCGGAAGCCGATGTCTAGAATGAGGTACAATACCGATCTCTTCTTTCTACCAAGCTGGTCGTCTCTGCCCACTGTGAGCATGGGAATGCTAGCTAGTCTCTTTTATGTTCTTCTTCTCTTCCTCTTTTCTCGCATTGGAGGGGCGGAGCTTCCTGTTGTATCCAGGATTGCTTTTGGTTCGTGTGCTCATCAGGACGTTCCTCAGGTTAAAAAAAACTATTTTTGTGTGTGTGTGTGTGTGTGTGTGTGTGTGTGTTTACTGATCCATATTCTTTTGTTTTTTGTTTTCCAGCCGATATGGTCGGCTGTGCTGGATTTCAAGCCCGAGGTGTTTATCTGGCTTGGAGACAACATTTACGCGGATAACAAGCGGCCGACTCGGGTGTTTGGAAAGGAACGCACCGCTGGGCCTTGGAAGAACATCCCCCGCTTCTCTCCTGTGTCGCTTGAAGAAATGGCGGAGAAGTATCGGAAAGGGAAGAGCGTTCCCGAGTACAAGAGATTGAGAGCAACTACACAGGTTGGTTCGTGATTTTTCTGGCTTGTTTATAGCACATTGCTCTTGGACAGATTATAGGAACTTGGGATGACCATGATTATGGCCTCAATGACGCTGGAAAGGAGTTTGAAGGCAAGAGGGAGAGCCAAAAGTTAATGCTGGAGAATTTGGACGAGCCTTTGGACAGCCCCAGGTAGGCAAGCGCGTAATTTTTCTATTATTCATCTGTTTTTTCGCTTTGTCTAGATGGTCCCAGGAGGGGGTCTATACGTCTTACTCTTATGGTCCTTTAGGAAAGAGAATTAAGGTATGATCGAAGCTTCGTTATCGTTTTGAGCTCCTGAAAGTAGCATTTACAAGCAGGTTATTCTTCTAGATACAAGGTACCACAGAGATCCGATTTTCAGCGACGGGACGGTGCTGGGAGAAAAGCAGTGGACGTTTCTGGAGAAAGAACTGACCGAGACCGATGCGCAAATCAATATCATAGCTTCGTCCATTCAAGTGAGTATCTTCTGCTATTATCATGCTACATACGTGGGATTGATCTGTTTGCGCTTGTAAAGGTGTTGGGCAACTTTTCTTCGACTGTGCGACCTTTCTTTCACGTGGAAGCATGGTCGCACTTTCCAAAAGAGCAAGAACGACTTTTTGATGTAATTGCACGCTCGAATGTAAGTCTGGATGCTGAGGCTTTGGGATTTTGACATCCAGCTCTCTCCATGCACAGGCAAGTGGTGTTGTCTTTATCAGTGGGGATGTGCACTTTGGGGAAATCACTAGGTACGACTGTGGTATCAGCTACCCGCTTTATGATGTGACATCGAGTGGCCTTACACAGGCAGTGGAGCAGTCTAAGCTTGCTCCGCTAGCAAGGTTCTCTGCCTGGCTAATGCCAACTAGTATGAGGGTATACAATCAATGGTGCCGATACAGCTCTTGCGTTTATGGTTCGTATCAGTCTCTCTTCTCTTCTACTCATGTCTTGAGAATTTTGCAAACCTTCGTCACTCCAGGCAAACAGAACTTCGGAACTTTCCTCATCGACTGGACCGAGGACAATGTCAAAATTGTCGCGGAGATCAGAGACGTGTTTGGACGGCCTGCGCTCAAGGAGATCATCCCGCTCTCGAAACTCCAGGCACAAGATGGAGCAGAGAGAAACTTCAAGCGGCTAAGGAAGAAGATCCAGAGGCACTGTACACGGGAAGTCGACCTTCCCTGGTACCTGAGATACCGACTGGCTGCCGTCGTTTACTCTCTCTTCACTGGTAAGTTCCCTTGTTTGCTCGCTTCTCGTTCTGACACAAGCAAAATGTGCAGTGATCATACTGGCTGTTTCTGTTTCCCTTTACTGTCTGGTGAGAGTGGGAAGCAGCAAGCTTCACAAGAAGTCCGAGTGAAAGTTAAAAGTACGTAGAGTTTATACTTTTGTTCTATTTTTAATCCACAAAGGGGATAACACTTGTTTAAGGATAAAGTACTATCTTACTCAGATAGTTTTTAATAGCATCCGAAATGATAGAGATGAGCAGGGCCTATAAAATGGTGCTACAATCACAAGGGTTCGTGGTATCAGAGCTTGTGATGAGAATGGGAAGGAGGAGCATCTGCCTGGCGTCCTTTGTGGCGCTTTTGTGCCTGGGGTCGACGCTTGCTACACAGGTACACTCCTCCCTTCTATCTTTTGTGTACTGATATCGGGGCTCCAGGAGAAGCGAGTCGCAGATCAAACATGTGGTTCCGGGTTCCAGGAAGGGGAAGTCGAGTTTTTCCCCAACATCTCGAAGATAGAGTACGAGGTCTGGGATTTCTCGTGTTTCTCATCTCAATACCTTTTCTAAACGCGCTCGGATGGGAATTTCAGGGACCCTCTAGCAAGAACCCACTTGCTTTCAAGTGGTACAATCCGGAGGAAGAGATCTATGGCAAGAAGATGAAGGTAGAAGCCACTTCATTCCATCCATGCGCTCGACAAAAAATCCTTTTTGCTTTCCTTTATCTGTGTAGGACTGGCTGAGGTTCAGTGTCGCCTTCTGGCATACATTCCGAGGGGATGGTAGTGATCCTTTTGGATCTCCGACGAAGCAGTGGCCTTGGGATGATGGAACGGACTCGCTCGAGATGGCCTTCACAAGAAGTACGTGTGCTTTGCGTTCGGTTTGGTGTTTATCTTGTTCTTGTCTCCAGTGCGGGCAAACTTTGAGTTCCTGAAAAAGCTTGGCCTTAACCGATGGTGCTTCCACGATAGAGATATTGCGCCAGAGGGCCGGACTCTGGAGGTTTGCTGGCTCGAAGTTTTTTCATTGATTGACAAAGCTTGGTGTTTCAGGAATCAAATGCCAACCTCGACAAAGTTGTTGCTTTAGCTAAGCAGCTACAGGAAGGCACAGACATCAGGCCTCTCTGGGGAACCGCGCAGCTTTTCAAGCACCCAAGATACATGCATGGCGCGGCCACCAGGTATTAGATTTTCTTGTTGCTCGCTTTCCTATTATAATTGTTTCTTCCCCTGGTAGTCCCGACGCTAGGATTTATGCTTATGCAGCCGCTCAAGTCAAGAAGGCTATGGAGGTATGTTACATGTTTTGCTTTACTTTGATTCATGATGTCTGAGCTTTCTGCTTTCAGGCTACGAAAGAGCTTGGTGGGGAGAATTACGTGTTCTGGGGTGGCCGGGAAGGATATCAGTCTCTCTTGAACACAGACCTTGAGAGGGAGCTCAATCACCTGGTAATAATTCCTTTGTTCTTTTCAACTTCGGCAGCTATAACTCTTGGCTTTGCAGGGACAATTTTTGAAATCAGCCGCTGAGTACAAGAAGAAGATCGAATTTGACGGTAAGCATCTCACGCTGACTGCTTGGTACTGAGACATTTTTTTCATATGGCAGGCGTGCTTCTCATTGAACCAAAGCCTCAGGAACCCACGAAGCATCAGTACGGGCTTGCTTTAAACTTAATGCACCTTACTTAACGTTTGTTTATGTAGATATGATTGGGATGCTGCAACTGCGATTGGATTCTTGCAAAAATATGGATTGAAGGGTAAGCTAGCTTGTGGTTTTCCCTGTAGATCCAACTAACTCTATTCCTACGGCGCAGACGACTTCAAGCTGAACATTGAATGCAACCACGCAACGCTTGCGGGTCACAGGTAAGACAGCCGAAAGTTTATTGTTTGTACTGATACTCGTGGAATGCAGCTGCTATCATGAACTGGAAGTTTCTCGAATCAATGGAGTTTTGGGAAACATTGACGCCAACACTGGTGACGCTCAAACAGGTACGTTTTTTCCGCTTCTTCTTTTCACGCAGTACTGAAGAGATTGTTTTTCAGGATGGGATACCGACCAGTTCCTGATGGATATTGCAGAAACCACGCAAGTGATGCTTTCAGTGCTTCAGAATGTAAGTCACTCAAAAACATGTTTCTTCGCCTGACCGTATCATCTTTTGCTTGTAGGGAGGTCTTGCTCCTGGTGGATTCAACTTCGATGCCAAACTGTGCGTGTATTTAGAAACCATTCCTACCGATTCGTGCTCACTTGTGTGTTGTGTGTTGTTTTTCAGGAGAAGGGAAAGTACAGACGTGGAAGACTTGTTCATCTCTCATATCGCTGGCATGGACGCAATGGCACGCGGGCTTCGCAATGCAGCCAAAATCCTTGAGGTAAAATTGCTTCATTTGTGGCATTTCTCACGGGCAAGAATTTTTTTTCAGGAGGGTACTCTTCCAAGTATCGTGAAAGAGCGATATGCAAGCTTTGACTCTGCTTTGGGAGCTTCCATTGAGGTACACTAAAGCTTTCTACGACGTTTCATTTACCAATTGCTTTTGGTGTGCTAGTCTGGGGAGCTCGGATTTGAAGAGCTGGAGCAGGAGGCCCTGAGAATGGAGGAGCCACTACCTGCGTCTGGGAAGCAAGAGCTAGCTGAGATGGTGTTCTATAACTCCATATAACCAGCATGAGATAACTCCATACTCCATATAACGATGTGATATCTATGTAAAGGCTTGATTACATGAACTTGTAAAGAATGTTATCACAAAATGTCTTTTACCTCTCAAGGATGAAAGTAGCTTCTCTATTGTAATCGTCACCGTATCGCAACCATCAATCTTCTTTACCAGGTTACAGAATGTCTCCAAGGTATATATCTGCAGCGGGGGCCTGGAGCTGTATGGAAGCACAGAGATTAGTTTCCTGTAGACCTCTTCCTGGAGCACGCTATTTTGGTGCTCCTCAATTACTTCGTAGAACAGCTTCTTCTTGTCTGACTGGGGAGATGGGTTTTATGAACGAGGTTTGGAAGGAGGCCAGAGCTAAAGGTGTGGAAATCAGGCTGGATTTGAAAGATGTTTGGTCTAGCAAATTGCTTCCGGATGGAAGAAGACAGTCTCTTTGGTGCTTGAGATGGTTGGCTCATATGAGCCAATGTCAAGGGGTATGAAAGAATGGTGTTGTGTCCATTGTATCCAACGGCAAAACTGAGCCCAAAAGGGAAAAACCTTGTCACTTCGGGCTTGAAACGGGCCCTGGACGATGAAAAGACTGTGACTTGTTCTTGGATGCGAGACAATAAGCTACCGAGCCTTCCCTCGTACCTTGAAGAAATGTCCAAGGAGGCCTAGAGTCTTCATCATGTCCACTGCTTTCAATACGTCAATATGAAACAACCATGGTGAAGGTGTTCTATGTCTCGTCCAGCAACGACAAGGCAATCCGGACATGTCCATTCTTAAAATGCCTTGCGTTGGCACCCTGTCCAGAATCACGCTGATCAACTCATCGCTAAACAGCTCCTTCCTTTTGTGTAGAGTTGGGCCTTTCAACAGTGCGTCAACCGGTTTATTAATTTTTAAAAAAAAATTGGGACATATGAGGACTATTTGATGCCATGCAAAGAAAGAATCTCGTCTCGTGGACTGCCATGGTAATTCCAGCACGGGCATCTGGATGAGGCAAACCTTCTATGCCCGAATGATCGCTGCATGGTTCATCTGGGGATTTAAATGGAAGTAGGCAGCTGTTTGAGAAAATGGAAGAAAAGAATTTGGTGTCGTGGAATGTAATGCTCCCGGCAAATGCGATTTCTCTGGCGAAACTTGGGCGCTCCTCAAGTTTTAATAAGCTTGTCATCCTTCCTAGCAAGATCACTGCATAGAAAGTTCTCGAAGAGCTCCATCCCGCGTTTGCTTTACATCGCTATACATCTCCTTTTGATCTGTAAAGTTTGGAGAGCCCGTAACACAGCGTTTCATCCAACTCCACGCTCTCATTCTTTAGCAGAACATTCGAGAGTTTTTAGTAAAATCAACGGTGAAAAAGAAAAGAAGCAGAGAATATTCTCAAAGTCCAACTCTTGATGAGCTTATATTCCCAAACATCACTTTTAACAGCAGCTGCCAACTCCGGGCATCTGGGAGATGCTAAGAGGATATTTGATGGCATTGGGGAGCCAGACGTGGTGTGCTGGAATGCGATGCTTTCGGCATATGCCCGTGCCGGATGTATCTCAGATGCGAGAGGAATCTTTGATGCCATGCAGGCGAAGAATCTAGTCTCGTGGACTGCCATGGTGTGCGCATATTCCAAGCACGGGCATCTAGACGAGGCAAAGATTCTCCTTGGTGCCATGCCCGCGTGGAATGCGGTATCATGGACAGCGATAATCGCTGCTTGTGGTTTAGCTGGAAACTTAAACGAGAGTAAGCAGATGTTTGAGATGATGGAAGAGAAGACTTTGGTGTCATGGAATGTGATTCTCGCCGCAAATGCTCAAAACGGGCAATTTGCGACTTCTCTGGCGATCTTTCATGCGATGCCGCAGTGGGATCTGGTGTCCTGGATCACGCTCCTGGGTGGAATTTCCAGCGATATTGATGCTCTGCTCGAGATTTTCTACGCAATGCCCGAGCACGACATCGTGTGCTGGAATGCGCTGCTATCGGCTTACGGGACTAGAGGCAGGATTGGCGATACCCAGCTCGTGTTTGAGAGGATGCCAGAGAGGAATTTGATCTCCTGGACCGCGATGCTCAATGCATGGATCTTGTGCGGCGACCTGGAACTCGCGAGAGAGCTCTTTGATCGCATGCCGGAGAGGAACCTTGTTTCTTGGACCGCGATCATCGATGCGTATTCGCAGAGAGGAGATCCGTGCCAGGCCAGGAGCCTCTTCGCCCAGATGCCGGAGCAGAGCCTGGCCTCCTGGAACGCGATCCTCTCCGGCATCGCCCGGTTTGGAGATCTGGAAGAGGCGGGAGAGATCTTCGAGAGGATGCCGGAATGGAATTCTTCCTCGTGGAACGCAATGCTGGCCGCCTACACCCTGTCCGGAAAGAATCTGGAAGAAGCCTGGGCGCTGTTCGCCAAGATCCCTCGCAAGAACCAGCTCTCCTGGAACCTGATGCTCACCGCCGAGAGCCAGCCGCTGGAGTCATCGCTGGAGATCTTCGCATCGATGCCGGAGCGCGACGTCGTGTCCTGGACGGCGATTCTCACCGCATTTGCCCGCGCCGGCCACAGCTCCCACGCGGAGAAGCTCTTCGCGCAAATCCCCAGCCCCAATCCCATCTCCTGGGCCGCCCTCCTGGCCGCGCTCTCCACCACCGATCCATTCCCCGCCTTCCACGAGATGGCCATGATCCACGCACCCACGCCCGCGTGCTTCGCGTCGGTGCTGGCGGCGTGCGTCCACCGTGGCGCGCTGGAGCTTGCCACGTCATATTTCGCTGCCATGGTCCGAGACCACGGCGTGACGCCCGGCCGGCAGCACTACGGCTGTATGGTGGACTTGATGGGCCGCGCGGGACGTGTGGATGACGCGCGGCACATTGTCGCCGCCATGCCTTGCCACGTGGACGCGCTGGATTGGCGGTGCCTGCTTGGGGCTTGTAGGTGGAGTGGCACGGAGGGTGATCGGTGTGGTACGGACGTGGCCGGGCTTGCGATGGGGGTGGATCCAGGTGACGCCGCTGCCTACGACCTGGTAGCAAGTGTGTATGAGTATAATAGCGTATAGATCTTGTATATGGAACGTGTTACCAGACCAGATTAACTGCAAAGTGATTGATTGAGATCATAGTTTTTGCTCAACACGACCAGCGTTTTATTTATTAACCAAAGTGATTGATTGATATCATCCTCACGGGCAGAACGTAAATGGTGAAAGTTCCTCCGGCTCCAGAAGTCTTGGTGCTGGATCGAACTGGCGCAAGTATTCCCATTCCTGTTCTGGGGAGGACAAGTTCCAGCATCCGAGATCCAGTGAGTGCCGATGAAGAAGTGGTGATGTCATAGAAGTCCTTGTTGCTATTGTTGTTGATGGAAACCTCGGCCAGTCCAGTGCCGACCTTTCCCACCCAGACGACTTTCTGAATGCAACCAACGCTTGCGGGACACATGTAGCTGCTATCATAACTAGAAGTTTCTCGAATCATTGATGAACTGGAAAACATTGATACGTCTTTCCGCTACTTCATTACATGCAGTGCTTAAGAGATTTTCTTTCAGGAAAGGATACCGACCGATGGATATTGTGGAAACCACAGAAGTAGTGCTTCAGAATGCAAGTCACTCAAAGACATGTTTCTTCGCCTGACCGTAACTCATGCGTTCCTGTTCGTTTGTCTTCGTGTAGGGCGGTCTTGCTCCTGGTGGATTCAACTTCGATGCCAAACTGTACATAATTTAGAACCATTCCTACCAATTCGTGCTCACTATGTGTGTCGTGTTTCAGGAGAAGGGAAACTACAGACGTGGAGGACTTGTTCATCTCTCATATCGCTGGCATGGACGCAATGGCACGCGGGCTTCGCAATGCAGCCAAAATCCTTGAGGTAAAATTCCTTGATTTGTGCCATTTCTCAGGGGCAAGAATTTTCTTTCAGGAGGGTACTCTTCCAAGTATCGTGAAAGAGCGATATGCAAGCTTTGACTCTGCTTTCGTTGAGGTACACTAAAGCTTTTTACGATGTTTCATTTACAAATTGCTTTTGGTGTGCTAGTCGGGGGAGCTTAGAGTTGAAGGCTGGAGAAAGAGGCCCTGAGAGCCACTATCCGCGTCTGGGAATCAAGAGCTAGTTGAGATGGTGTTCTAATGTATGTAAGGCGATATCTATGTGAAGGCTTGTTTAAACATTTTTACTGTCATGTGTAAAGAATGTTATGGCAATTTTAAATCTTCATTTCAATACTTACCTGGCAGATCCCTCTCAAGGATGAAAGTACCTTCTCTCACCGTTTCGCAGCAGTTTTCTCACCATCAATTTGCACAGCTTCTCGTCTACCAGTTTACAGAACGCCTGGTAAGTATCTGCAGCGGGATGCCTCCTTAGCAAAGTACTCTCGGCTTATTGTGCTCGCATCGAAGAACAAGTCATATGCCTCAGTAGCTAGCGTTTCACCGTCCAGCATGAGGCCCCGTTTCAAGCCCGAAGTGACGAGGTTTTTCCCTTCCGGGCAGTTCGTTGTACATCTCAAGCACATTTTTGGCGTTGGATGCAACATCACCTCCCTTTCCAAAGTTTCTTTTATATGGACAACACTAAAGTGTGATCTTTGACCACGTCGAGATGACATTGGCTCGTTAACCATCTCAAGCAACAAATTGTCATTGTATGGATGTATTTAAGGAACACTTTGTCGTTGCTGGATGAGACATGCGACGAGAACACCTTTCCCATCTGCAGCATCTTTGGGTGCTCTTTTGGAAACGCCTTACAATTAGCGCCTCGCGTCTGGGAAGCAAGAGCTAGCTGAAATGGTGTTCTATAACGCCACATAACACCCGAATATCTATGTAAAGGCTTTGATCATTTGATGAAGTCAAGCGTTGATATGTGAACTCCATGCTAGGGACAGGGGATGATGGGAAATTTGACTCTTTTAACTTCCACTTCCATAAGAGATGTTCAAATCTCACTTCAGTGAGAAGATTGCCGCTCGTTTCTTTATTTGTTGATCCACCATGTTCAACTCCATGGCTAGGCCGCATCCAGCGCCAGCTCCATGGCCAGAGCGCCAGCTCCATGGCCAGGCCGCCAGCGCGAGCGCCATGCCCGCGATCACCCATGTAAGTCAAAATTAATGGATTGATGGCGATGAAAGGTTTTTTTAGCAAAAAGTAGCTTTCTGATCCAGGGAAGTGATTACAGTTGGCCTAGCCAGGGCCAGAAAGCACAGGGAATGGAGTCGTAGAGATTCTCATCACTCTTCCTCTCTCATCATCCACTACGGCTGCATGGGACGTTTGTGGATGACGCGCGGTACATGGTCCCCGCCATGGGGCTTGTAGATGGAACGATACGGAGGGCGATAGGTGTGGTACGGAGGTGGCTGGGCTTGCGATTGGGATGGATCCAGGTGATGCCGCTGCGTACGACCAAGCTAACGTATCGATCTGAATAAACGCGTGACAACATTTTTGCTATAGAATTTATTTATAATCATTTATAAAGTGATTGAATAACACCATCGCTCACGGGCAGAACGTAATGGTGAAAGTTCCTCCGGTTCCAGTGGCAAAAGTCTTGGTGTTGTCACCAGACCAGCTATAAGCATCCGGGCATGAGGCACGGACGTTCTGTGCATACTGGGAGTTTGGATCGTCGCGGTTGGGACTGGTACAAACATTCCCATTCGTGTTCTCGGGAGGACAAGTCGAAGCCTCTGCTCGGCAAGTCAGACCCCTGCCAGATCCAGTGATGCTCATCCCAGTGCCGATGAAGAAGCCATCCACGGCGCTGATGTCGTAGAAGTCATTGTTGCTGTTGCTGTTGATAGAGAACTCGGCCAGGAGGCCAGGAGTTCCAGTGCCGATGTTTCCCCCCCAGAGATCCGGAGGACTCAGTGAGCGAGATTCTCCGGGGGCGAGAGTGAATCCGGAGGTTCCGATCGAGGGGCCGGGGTTCTCGCGGACGACAATGTTCTGCGAGCCTCCGCAGCTATTGACAACGTTGAAGGAAGTGGCTGCTGCGAGTGGGATTGCTGCAAAACAATGGCTTAGAGCAACAAGAGCAACTAGGATGGCAGTAGAGCTTGCCATTGGAACTGTGTATGCTGTAATATATTTCTGTGAGTTTCTTTGAGGATTTATATAGTCTAGAGAAATTAGTGAAGGTGAAAGAGTTTGTTGACCACACGCAAAGGAATACCACCCGTGAATAGCGAGAGTTTTCCAAGCAAAAAAAACCTTTTCTTCACAAGACTTTGAAAATCATGTTCATGCCTTGAGTTTTTGCAGAAACGTGCTTTGAATATTGAGTCAAGAATGCCGAACTTTGTGAACTAGTGCCAGCTCAATAACTCCTAGTCTCACATTCGGGATTGTTTTCTGTGGATACTATTATTTGATTCATAAAGCGTTGAATTCATAATCAAAGCACATCTGATTAAAGGATAAGTTCAAATAAAAAAACTTAAATTTTGATGAACTTAATACTTGCCCCATGATGCCATGAATATACATAGTTTTCCTGTCCCCCTGCATTTTAAAAAAAAAAGTGAATCTCAAACCTTATTTAGCTCCGCAGTTTACTTCAAAGCTAAATCTGCTTTGCCGGGCTTGGTTAATCCATGGCGATCTAGAAAATCTTGGCACTGCAGTTGGATTAGTCTTGATTACTAGCAAAGGCAATTATGGCTGCATGGAGGAATCTCTCAAGGTCTTCCAAAGAATCAATACAAGAACACTATTAAATAAAAGCTGATAAACATGGGATCATCTATCCCATGGGGCTTTTGCATGTGTGCTCAATCAACGGACTTTTGGCCTGAGAAGCAGCTTAGGTAAACATATGCACGAAAAAAAAGAGAGGAAAACACACCTGTGTAAACTTGTAGACACAAAAGTATGTACTTCCCGGAACTTTTCTTCTAGCACCGTGATACTGGCAGCAGAAGAAGTTAAGTTCTGCTTCACGGAGTGACTGCGTCTTTGCGTGAGATTCCTGTTGCTGCAAGGCAAGCATGGTTGACTCTGCCTGCTAATCCATTGTAAATGTCGGATGCAATACATCCAGACAAGAGTGGAACGCCTCTGTTGGAAGGATTCTCAACTCTCTTTCCAACCCCTTTCTTCAGCTGCTCTTCCTCCCAGATCTTTGAATTCAACGTTCTCAGACACGCCAGCTTTCTTTCCATTATCCTTGTAAGTGAGCCTCCCTCGAACTTCCCCGGCCTCGTCTTCACTGGAAACAGCCTCGTCTTTCGATGGAGCGTCACAAATTCTGGACCGAAACTTGGCATCGCTAGAATGACACCACCAAAAGAAGCATCCATCAAGGCATCAAGAGCTAGTTGAGATGGTGTTCTAATGTATGTAAGGCAATATCTATGTGAAGGCTTGTTTAAACATTTCTACTGTCATGTGTAAAGAATGTTATCGCAATTTTAAATCTTCATTTCAATACTTACCTGGCAGATCCCTCTCAAGGATGAAAGTACCTTCTCTATTGTAATCGTCACCGTTTCGCAGCAGTTTTCATTTGCACAGCTTCTCGTCTACCAGTTTGCAGAACGCCTGGTAAGTATCTGCAGCGGGATGCCTCCTTAGCAAAGTACTCTCGGTAGCTTATTGTGCTCGCATCCAAGAACAAGTCATATGCCTCAGTAGCTAGCGTTTCACCGTCCAGCATGAGGCCCCGTTTCAAGCCCCAAGTGACAAGGTTTTTCCCTTCCGGGCAGTTCGCTGTACATCTCAAGCACATTTGGCGTTGGATGCAACATCTTTCCAAAGCTTCTTTTATAATGGACAACACTAAAGTGTGATCTTTGACCACGTCGACATAAACCCTTGACATTGGCTCGTCAACCATCTCAAGTAACAAATTGTCATTATATGGATGTATTTAAGGAGAGCTTTGTACGAGACATGCGACGAGAACATCTTTACGATCTTTGGGTGCTCTTGTGGAAACGCCTTACAATTAGCGACTCGCGTCTGGGAAGCAAGAGCTAGCTGAAATGGTGTTCTATAACTCCATATAACACCCATGTAAAGGCTTTGATCATTTGATGAAG